TGACATCCTGGGCATTTGTCAAGGCCCGGCTCCCACAAAAACACTCAGATGCCAGAAGAATTACACACTTGAACTGCGTGCTCAGAATGCATCGCTGAGCTTACGAGGGAGTAAGGAACATCCACAGTCACAGGTGTTCTTGTGCAGACAGCTACGTGTGCAGAACGGCTGGCTGGAGGGATGCAGGTGGGCGGGCCTGTGGGTTGTGCCAGTAACTAAGCTGCTGTGTCTCCTCTCCACCCAGCCATCTCTGTCCTGCTCAGTGGTGCTGGCCGGGGACCCTGCCAACCCCGTTTCTCTGTTGCTGGCTGGCTCTCCAGCTGCTCTCAGCAGGGGCACTGAAAAGAGACCAGAAGGCTGAATCTCAGGGTCGAACTTCCTTCCTTTTCCTGGGTCGCCCTTCCTCCCACCAGCATCCCCCAGCCGAGAGGGCTCTTCACCTGGCAGGGATAGCTGATTACAGGGGCCGTTGGTTCCAGATTCCCTAGTCTCTGAGAACAAGCCGCAGTTGGCTGTCTGAGAAGCCACCAAATGGGCAGCATTGTTCTGGGTCCCAGCTCTTCGTGGCCTCCCCTCCCATGCCCCCCCCCCAGCCTTCCCTTTTGTTCCCCAAGCCCAGGGGTACTGTGACGGCTGCTTTCTGGTTACTCGAGTCACATTATGTCGCCCTGTTACTCTTTTGTCCTTCAAGAGCTCTCGAAGCCCATCCCCAGTATTAAACGACCTGTTAAAATAACTGATGTGGTCTCTATCAGCTGACTGCCCCAAGACCACAACAAGGTCTAGGGTGATTTCCTGTGATGCGGTCGGAGGAAGATGCTGCATCTGGCCTTCAGTCCAACAGTGAGGGACACCCCCGGTACCACAAGCAACTGACCTGGAGGCCCAAATCCCTGTTCACTCCAGTGTTGGGCCTCCAGACAAACAGCTAGATGGGGAGTTGGTGGTTGGTGCTTGGGGAAGGGCTTTAGTGGAGATGCCTGGTTGCTTGTGGCAACAACACAACACATACACATACATAAAACCCTTGGAATGTACTGATGTGGGGGGCGTGGCTCCCTGGGAAGCATCGCACAAGCTCTGTAACCACCTGAGAGCTCCCATCTCTGTGGTGGTTTTTGTCTGTGCGCGGAGCTGCAGGTATCCTTTAGAGACTTCATGTGCCGGTTGGGGCGTGTGTGTCCCGATGAGAAAGCCCCAGGCATGCAGGTCGGCTGTCTGGGGCTCTGTGTTGCACTTGTGCCTGGCGACTACTTACAACCTCGGATTGATTAGTCAAGCTTGGGGCTGGGTGTGGTCTCTCATTTGTCCGATTCTTAGTTATTGCAGAAGCCGTTTCTCCGAATGTTACTGGGGCTTCATCCAACTGTGGGAGCGAACGAGCAAGAGGAAGGTGTGAGATACAGGCCTTAGGGGATCCCAAAGGTAGGAGAAGTGAGGGCACCCCCAGGACGATGGCCAGAGGACCCGGTCTGACTGGAGAATCAGTTTCAGCAACAGGCGTTCTGGCCTGGGATTGTCTCTTAAGGTCCAGTGGTGCCCGGCTGAGGCTGGCCTAGACTGCTGTGGGCACCTGGCTTCCTGAGGTCACATGCTGATACAGCTCTTGCTGTCTGCTCTGTGCCATAAACACGGGTGGCAAAACGTCAAAGCCTTTAGGAGAATATGTGATCTTAAGCCAAAGCAAAGAACTAACTACAAAACGAAATTTATATATACTTAATTCCATTAAAATTAAAAACTGTTCACCCAAAAGTACCATAAAGAAAGCAAAAAGATAAAGTCCCCATTGTGCATATGTGTGTGCAAGTGCGTGTTGGGGGGTATTCACAACACACACACACACAAAGGCTTATTATCCTCGAATGTATAAAGACACATTTCTACCTTTACTTAAGAATATACAAAAAACCCCTGCAAGTCAGCAAGGAAAACACAAAGACCAAAATGGGCAGAGGACATGGACAGGTGTGTCAGGGAAGAGGAGAACCAGGATGGGAACATACACGTGAGAAGATGTTGTCTCCTTGAAGCAAGGGCCACAGACATTTCCCTCCACCAGACAGGCAGAACCTCAGGAGTCCTGTCCCACTAAATGTCGAAGAAGAGAAGTGCGCTGTCACCTGCAGGAATTCCCCGTGGCGACAGCATGTGGAAATGATTTGGCATTGCCTGGCAAACCTGAAAACATGTCTCCCCTAGGAATGAGCCCTTGCACCCTGGAGCGGAAAGCTGGAGGTTGTGGTAGGGGGGTGGGGCTGTACCGAAGCTGGAGCCTTCAAGTAGCCGAGTGGTCTGGTCCTCTGGTTCACTGGCTCCTGTGTCCCTGGGCAGCCACCAGCTGTGTCCTCCCATGTACCTCAGTGGGCTGAGAAATATCATTTTCTCTACGTGCAATGATATTGATACGTCTGGAAGGGACTGCCCACAAAATATTTATAGAATAGTCATGAAGGTATTGTTTAACCTGGAAACAACTCCAAGACCAGTAACAGGCAACTAATAGCTAAGTGTATTGTGATATAGTCTTTAAATGGAATGTTTATACAGAAGTGAACTTGAACTACATAACACTAACCATAGATGACTTTCAAAACAGGTACAAGAAAAAAGCAATTCAATGGTTCTTAAAATAGGACTCTATTTGCATCAAGTACAGAAACATTCAAAACTTAAAAGTATTGTTTAGAAATGTATTACTTACATATGTAGTAAAAATGATAAACCTGTAATTAGAAAGGTGGTAACCTTGGGGGCATGATGGAAGCTTCCAAGGCATTGTGGGTAAATTGGATTTTCAAAAAACAATTCTTTATATCATAATTATGTATGTACATTAGCTATATGCACATTATACAGGTATATATAATAGCTGCATTTTTTATTCTAAGAAATATTCTATAGATATATAATCTTTTTTCAAAAGGCATGACAAGGTAGATGCAAAACTTCAGTTTTGCAGAACATCTACCTACTTATTTCACGAGTTTGAAGGCACACTTCCTCCTACACGTCGTAACATCTCTGGAATTAGGAAGCATCTTAAGATTGTTACTGAGCCTGTGGCAGGTGCGCTGTAGTTGTCAATGTCATTGTCGTGCACGAACTTGTTCATAACCAGTCATGTCACACCCGAATCATGTGCACCATTGGCTCCATGCACTTTGATTTCAAACATTTAAAATCTCTTTAAAAAGATGGCATTATGACTTGATGTTACTGCATCCTCAGAAAGTCACAAAAACCCCACAGTAAGAAATACATTTTGTCCTGGTGAGGCCAAGGCAAATATTCAGTGTTGGAGAAATCCCTGTGATACTACTGTTTCTTGCAAAGCAACGACTAAGCACTAAGACCGGAGAAAGGAAAATATCCGCAAGCTGGCGATGCTTCTGTTTTGCTCTGGAGATACAAAGGACCGTCTAACCCACGCACAGCCACCCAGCTCGAGGTGGATGGAACTGAGGAACATTTCAAAGCGTGTGGGTATGACAGATTAATTCATTTCTGTGTCAGTTTTATTTTTCTTAGAGGGGAAAAAAAGAAAGGGTGAGTTTTTATGGCCGATGGCATCTTAGATTTGGTGTAGTTTTTGCATATATGTAAATCAAAGAAAGTCCAAAGGAGTTATACATCAGGGTAATGTATCTGACTGGTGGGATTACAAGTGATCCATCCTCTCCACCTTCGATTAAAAAAAATATTTTATTTTTAGAAAGGAAGGGAAGGAGAAAGAATAGGAGAGAAACATCAGTGTGTGGTTGCCTCTCACGTGTCCCCTACTGTGGACCTGGCCTGCAACCCAGGCATGTGCCCTGACTGGGAATCGAACTGGCAACCCTTTGCTTCACAGGCCAGCACTCAATCCACTGAGCCACACCAGCCAGGGCTCCACCTTCGATTTCTCAAAAAAGGTTTTGAGAGAGAAAAGGGCAGGAGAGAGGGAGAAAACATCAGTGTGTGGTTGCCTCTTGTGCACCCCCTACTGGGGACCTGGCCCGAAACCCAGGCTTGAGCCCTGACTGGGAATCGAACCAGTGACCCTTTGGTTCACAGGCCAGCACTCAATCCACTGAGCTACACCAGCCAGGGCTGTACTACTGAGTTTTGTCTCTCCACGCTCCACTGACCTTCTAAAGGATTTTTTTATGTTTCCTTACATCCTGGTTCTTCCACTTATTTACCGAAGTACCAGTTTTTCAGAATGGACTGTAGAATTCCTTCGGTAGCATCTGCAGCCATCTGACACATGAGGGATCTGGTGGGGGGGCTGTAACCTCAGGAGAGTTTGAGGATGTTCACCTTTGCCTCCCTGGTGCTGGGCATGGAGTTGGGGCCCCACATCTGTGCACCTTCCAGAACGGCAGTTCAGGGGAAAATGCTGGCTATACTGTGTTCTCCTCCCCCGAGAAAATCATGTGTCAGTGTATCATGAAAAACTTCTCGCTCTTGACTTAATCACAAAGATAGCTAAGCAGCAATTTTAGGGAATGTAAGATACTCACGCATATAGATGAACAATAAACAAACAAAAATCAAAGTGAGGCAGGAAAATAAGCACGCAACCTTTTTTCAGCATTTGTTTGCGTTCTAATCCCTGCCCCCTCTCGGTGACCAAACCAGTTCGGTTTTATCAGCTGCCTGGATGTCTGGGCCAAAGCACAGCACTGCGGCTTGTGAGCCTGCCTCCCGGGTGGAGATGGTGCCTCCCTCCCCTGTGGCCGCGCAGAAAGAACCCTGCCCCGGGGCTTGCAGACAGTTCAGTCTCAGCCTCGCCGGGTGGATGTGCGATCTGGTCGGAAGAGCAGTGCTACCTGATGGCGTCTCGTTTGCTGCTCCCGAGACACACCATCGATGGCTCACGTTTAAACATGAAGATGGTACAATACAGGCAAGACAAATAAGTTAAAGAGAAGAAACGGTTTTCACAGGGAGTAGTCCTGAAGTTCAGAAAAGAAAAAGTCTTACTACTAAAGTTTTGGGAAATATTTTATAATTTATATATAAAATCTCAGTAAGAAACCATGTAAAATGACAGAAATATCCACTTTACATTGCGTCAAAAAAAAAATCCACACACTGAATGTAAATTTTAATTACAAAACAAGAATATGAATAAAACATTTTAAAATAATCTCAATTATTTGGCAACTCATCACATCATTGCTAGAGATAAATTTGATCTTAAGAAAAGTTTAATCTTATGAAAAACATAAGTTGGACAGTTTGCTCGTATGGGAGATTAAAGATGTTTAAAAAAGGACCTGGCAATAAAGCCAGTTTGTTGTCTGTAATGATTATGCAGGAAACAACGTAAAATCCCGCGGCACGATAGGAGTGGCCTGATCTTCAACGCGGTTCTCTTCTCTGAAAATGACGGTGTGGAAAGAACACGGGTGAAGCCTCGGGACAGCAGAGGGAGCGAACACGGACGGGGGGCGGGAAGAGTGTTTCTGCCGCAGGCGGCGAACAGGAGGTAACTGCACCTGAACCAGAACCTCTTTCACCAGTGGGGCTGGTAGTGAAGTCACAGATGAGAGTACAATCTAAAAACAAGTGACATTCTTAAAAAGGTCACAACTGTGAACAGAAAGGCCACGGAGCCCCTTGAGCTAAACTACTTTACTGGAACACATGCGAGAAGGCTCTGCATTTCCTGCCCGGTCATATTCACAGTTACCGGCAGGCAGTCCTAAACACTGCTACTAATGACTGCATAGCATTTAAAATCCTTTTTTTTAATTAAAAAAATAATAAAATAAAATAAACAGATATATAGTAAAGTTCACAGATAAGTTTTCTCTGTAAAATAAATAAAGTGTTCATTGATTAGCATCATACACAGAGTAAAATACAACCTATTTTTACATGTTTATATGCTGTACACAGACGACCAGCGGGCAGCCTGGTGTCGGACGAGCTGAAGGGTTTGCACTCGAGATGTGCCCCATCGGGAAATCCCAATTTCCAATGTTAAAATATACAACTACTTTGCTTTGAGTTGATACAAAGTAAACTTATTTTCCTTTATCTGAAATAAATGTACATAATATCTATCTTCTATGAACAACAGTTTATAAAGCCATTAAAAACATAACAAGAAGCTTGCACCTAGGAACTTAGAGCACATGCAGGTACTTTCCCTGGTTAAAATAAAAAAAAAGCCTGCGCCCAAGGCTGGAGCTTTCTCCATCTCCTCCACGTGTCCGCTCAGGATTATCGCTTCAGCTTCTTCACGGGGGCCTCCTCCGCCCGCTGCTGGCCTCGAGTGCGGGCCCCCGGGGGGCTGGCCTCCCTCTTGCGTTTGGTGGGAGGGGACTGCTGCGCCTTTGACCTGCAGCAGACACAAGTCAGGTAGTGGTGAGAGTGAGAAGGAGCTGCTTCCAATGATCTGGGAGTTCTTAAAAAAAAAAAAAGACTTTTGAACTTGGGAGCCAATAGAACACAACCTGGGTGAGGTTTACACGCAGGAAAAGGAGACAGAGTCTAGGCGAGCCCGTGCTGAGCGGTCATCTGCAGACGCCCGTCCCCCCAAGCAGTCAGAACTGTGCTCTGGTTCCAGCGGGGCCACGCTCTGGGTGCTGACTTGGTCAAGCTGACCTTCCTCTTTGGGCTCAGCTGTTCTACCTATGAAACAGTCGACAGCCATTCCCACACACACTGCCCCAAGTGGAAATGACCGGCAAGAACATGGCAGGCTCGCACCTACTCTGCCCCAGGGAGTGCAGTCTCAGCGCGGCTCACAGCCGACAGCTGGTGGCGCCACGACGGACATGTCCTACACTCTCCCTGCCCGCAGCCCAGGCCTGCCTCCACGAGCTACTAAAATTATCTGTGGGCAACTCCAGTTAATCACGTCTCCATCTCTGGCTCTGTGATGCTTTCAGGATAAAGTCATCCAGAGCGGAACCCACCAAGTCCTTGATCATACACCCTTGACTTTGCACCATCTGGCCCACAGTCCTGCCGAACACACGTGTTCATTTACATTTCATGCTTTGGCACGTGATATTCTGGGGGGAGGAGAGGCACCCGGCAAACCTCATTTTAGGCCCCAGTGAAAAGCAGCCCCTTAGGGAAGCTGCTCTTGGAAGTCCCACAGCACCGACCATTGTAATTCGTCCCCTGCGCTTTTCCCAACAGCAGGTTCCAGGCATTATTATAAAACCGAGGATGACTAGACACTGAGAAAACACCCCTGGTGCCACTTCAAGCCTGGCTCGTGGAACTTTGCTTTCACTCACAGGAGCAGTATTGCAAAATGCGTCCCTGCTGTGTGCTGCTGTCAGAAAGGTCTGGAAGTCCCACACGTCTCCCCAACGGGACAGGACGTGTCTCCAGGGCGGCTGCTGGGTTTCAGTCAGTTCCCAGCTCCAGCGCCTGGTACTAAGTCAGCACCTGGAAAGCTGAACCCGCAGGGGATGGGGCTTCACCCATAGGAAGGCATGTTTGCTTACTGGCCCGTTGACAGCAAAAGCAAATAAACGGAGTCAAAGATGGGTGCATATGACGGAGTTTCAGCACCTTGCACCTACTCTGAGTTGACCACAGCCCATTACGGCCGTGTCCAGGGCAGCCACCAGTCGGGAACTGAGCCCTGTGTACTGGGCAGGTGGGGCATCTGGCGCTGTGCCAGGCGCCACGCAGCTGAGAAAGCAGCGTGGGGCCAGTGCGCTTCTCCTCGTGACACGAGCCGGGGCCGGGGGGAGGGGTCACCAGGCCCTCCCTCTCCACCCAGAGTGGGGTCTGACTGGCACACTGGCATCACCTGGAGCCTGTTACAGATGCAGACCCTCAGGCCCCGCCCAGCCCCCCACCCCGCCAGAATCGGAGCCCGAGTCTCCAAAAGAGCCTCCCAGATAGGTCCGCACATTTTAAGAAGTGATGAACATATCTTTTGGAGATTCTTCTCACATAAAAAATAAGGAAAACACGACGTTTTACTTGATGCGGGTTCATGGAAGAATCTGTGTGCACAAAGCCTGGCACTTGGTTGGACGCACTTTCCGTGCACGGGGACGATGCATCTGGGCATCACACGCACGCTGTGCAGATCGACCTGGTGCGGGAGGCCAGAATGGGCTCTGTGCACCGCGAGGGTCTGGCATTTTCTGCTGCTACAACACTCACAGAGTAAGACAGCCCCTGATCTCAAGGAACAAGCTTCCAGCCCAGAGGAGAGAACGCAGCTAAGAACGTGATGGCACACGGCACAGCCTGACCTGAAGGGCGGCAGGAAGGAGAGCTGGAGACAGCTGGGGTCGGGGTGGAGGTGGAGGGCACTCAAGCAAGTGCAGCACCACCGTGAGCTGCAGTGGAGCAGGACCCAGCTCGGCCTGTGGGGGGCAGCCAAGGCCTGGGCCCCAGCAGGCGCCTCACTGTCACTCCCTGGCCTCCCCAGCTCCTGCTGAAGTGGAAATGGCTGTGGGCCAGCACCGGCTCCACTGTGCTGCGCTGACTTAGCTAAGCATCCAGATCTGTGACCACTCAGGAAAAGCGCGCCTTGCCTTCCATCCTAGCAGGCAGGCGGTGCCTATGAGGCTCACGGGTGCTGAGGCCAGGCCTATGCAGGGGACCCTGAGGGGAGGCCGACTGGCGAGGCCACCCAGACTCCCTTTGCACCCTTGCCATCGCATTTGGATAGGTTCCCACCCGGGAAGCCAGTGATCCCCAGTTATTGGTGAGATGAAGGTCGATGACCTTCTGGGAGAAAGTGCCGCTGTGTCAGAAGTTGTCTCGGGGTTAAAAATGACCTGGAGTGTGAGCAGGGACTTCCCTCCCAAGTGGGGCAGAGTGACGAACTCTTCCACTCGTGGGCACCTTCTCTCTGGCTGGTTTTGGAGGTTTCTAGGAGATCCTGCAGGTGGCTCACCCTGGCGCTTTCCCAACTAGATTACAGAAGCTCTGGGCATGGCTGCCCTGAGCACCAGGCCCTCAGGCACTTCACAGAATAGGGACTAAAAGCAGGAGAATAACTGGTCCTCTGGGACACAGCTAATAAGCAGACCTCACATCATATGAGGCTGCTTTGCTCTGACGGTGAGAGTCTGCAGTGACGCAGAGGAAGAAGATTCTGTGACACTCAGAAAACACACTGGGGACAAGATAAAGATCTCAGAGGTGCTTGTGAGACAAGAAAAGGGGTCAAGGTCACGAAGCACAAATTCACAAGGTGGCTCCATGTGGTCAACAGCCTGAGAGTCAGGTGACGGCAGATCTGAGCTGCCAGCAAAAACACTAAGAAAAAAAAGGACTTGCTGAGCGAGCACAAAGGTCAAGGGGAGGGAACTCAGGATCGACTCCACACTGAAGCGCAGTGCCCAGGGCGTGGGGCAGGACAGTCCTCCTCTGTGTGCATCAGCCTGTACTGGGTGCAGAGCATCTGCTTCTTAAAGAGCAGCCAAACTGAGAACCGGGCGAGGAGGGGTTCACACAAGAAGCGAAGCCCCAGCAGCTACCCTCAGGTGTTTGAGGGGAAGGGGGACAAAGGCCCCAAGAACGGAAGCTGCGGGGGGCTGGATCGTACTGAACCAGGACACAGGGCCAGGAGGTGGCTTTCCTGGCCACCGTGGTATGTGCTGACACAGTGATTGAGGCACTGATCGCTTCCCTGTACTGACCCGCTGACCTCCGGCCCATCCTACCCTGAGAATCCAGGACCAATCAACTAATGCCAAGGAATCTGAACCAAAGAGGAAAGAATCCATTTGTAGATCAAGTACATCAAGGAAGAATATTGATAAATCCAGGTGATTATAAAACCGTAGTCAGATAACATTTATTTTTGAGGAATGAATTTTAAAAGGCAAATACGATAGCTCCTTTTAGACACTCACTCTAAGATGCCTAGAAGGCCCATGGGACTTTCTCTGAGATGCATCAGGTGACCTTTCCATGATTTTTAAGAGAGAGGGAGGTAGCGGTGCTGGTGGGGTGCCCTGTGCCTGAGTGCAGGGGTGTTGGGCTCCAGCACCTCAACCCTCTCCGAGCAACAGGAATCTCGATTCTGACTTCCGTTTACCTTCTATCTATCTGAACTGCCCCACCTGGCACAGGAATATGAAACCTCCACCCACCTTCTAGCCATGTGAGCACCTGCAGACTTCCAGCTCTGAATCTGACCTCTGAGGAAATGCACCAGGACACAAAGGGCTGATAAAGTTAAGGTTGGAGGAATTAGAAATCGGGAGACTTTAAGTCTTTATGTAAACATAAGATACCAGCATGACAGGTGTTAGTAAGTGATACTCTGGAAATAAATATTTGTGAACTTTTAAATTAATCGTGAATAAGGAAATTAGAGAGGATACCTTAACAAGTGGTGAATCACATTAAAAGTAGGAAATACTCTCACTTTAGAGAAAGTCATGAAAATTGCAGACTGACTCAACATCTCTCACAATGTGCCGCGGGCAAAGGAACACTGACAGATGCTCAGCAGTGTCTCGACACAGGCTGGGGTGTGGAGTGTCCTTGAATCCTGGGCAAACAGAGTCTACTCAGACCAAGCGGACAGGTTCCTTCCCTGCAGGGCTGTGCAGAGCCCTGACTACTTCCACCCACACTGTGACTTAAGGAGAGAGGTCACTGGCATTGCGCAAACTCATCTGACCATGACACTCTTTTCCAGAGGCTTCTGGCTATGCTAGGGTTTGGGAAACATGAAATAACCAGTTATTTAAGTTAAAAATGATCACATGTGGGCAATGTCACATGACCAGCCTCTGCATGGCACTGGTTAGAGGTGCCTCCCACAGAGAGGGCGCTCTCTCCCTCCCTGGATGGAGCCTGCCTCTCGGAAGGACTGCTGAACCCATCTACCCACGGTGATCTGCACTTCGGAGACGGGCACTCGTGTGCGATAAACACTGTAAAGGAACTGGGTGGGTTCCACCACACAGGCACCTCACACTGGCAAAGATTCTGAAGCAACCCACAATCACGGTTTAAGGCGGAAACCAGGTTCTTCAAGGAGAACCAACAAGCCAGAGGGCTGGGAGCACGTGCTGTCTGCCGGAGACAAAGGAGAACAGCTCGCACTGGGGCACGAGCGCGCCACTGAAAGCAGCTTCGAGCTGTTTCCTGTACGGAGGCGGGGAAGGGTCTCTGGAAGCTCTGCATTGCCCTGTTACCTCTGAGCCTCTGATCTGGTGGCAGACCTGGTGGTGGCTCCGGAGGGCTCGTCCTCTTCCTCTTCCTCCTCCTCCTCCTCGGACTCCTGGTCTTTTTTGTCCTCGGTTGCTTCAGAAACAGATTTCTGGCGTTTTCTTTCTGGTTCTGAGGATTCTGTTCAAACAGAAGGGGAACACCTGGATTGTACAATTCCCAAAGACACTTCAAAAGGCCAGAGTCCCGGGGTTCAGAACGCAGGGTATTAGGGGCTTCCAGGCAGAAGGGGTTTTCCACTTCCTTTCTGGTTCAGCACCTGCGGCCCACCACTGTTTAACTTAGTCTCAAACACATTTGGGAGAGTTTACTTAGGCAGTTCACAGCCAGCACTCACGCAGGCTTCGCATGCTCTCAGAGACACATCTGGGATGTGCCATTTCTGACACGGGATTAGAGCCATTTCACATGTATTTACGTAATACTAATATTAGCTGTACCCCGCTGACTTTTTCCTCATCCAAAGGAAAACTCCGAAAAAGGTGATTCTGAAATAATAAGGCTCTGTAATCAGGCATCTGCTAGGAACATACCAGCGTCGTCAGATAAAGTCAGCGAGCGCTTGGGCTTTCTTCCTCTCCGGCGCACGCTTGCTACTGTTTTCTCTTCACTGTCCTCCTAGAAGAGTTACATTCGAGTTGACAGAGCCGTCCACTGCGCATGTACTGAGTTTGTTTCTCAAAGACGTATCTTGATAAGAAAACCAACACTTACATTGCTTGCGCTTCTTTCTTGCAGGGCCCCTGCTTCTTTACTGGACTCATCTTTAAGAAAAAGGAAATCTCTGCATTAATACTTGATTAGTGCAAGACTAAATGTCAACAGCCCAGCTTCTGGTCTATGAATATGCCAGTGCTAATTAATGCATTTTTACACAACTCAGCATTGTTTTGTATTAGCCATGTAAAGCCTGAGTCAGAACAACTGGCATGTTGGGATATTGGTCAAGACACTGAAGATCTGTCATTAATAAGCTATGGGATGTGGGCGAATTACTCCAATTGACCAATCCTCCGTTCTCACATGTAGGAGAAGCAGTTGTGTTCTGATCAAATGCTCTGAACCCGGAAATGGAGGAGGAAGGGGACACTGAGAGAACCCCCAAAATTTACTGGGAATTGCAGGTCAGGACTGCAGACATCACCGAAATCTCGATGTTGCTCTCTAAGTACTATAATCCCATTTCACAGTTAGGAAAAACAAGGCTCCAGGAACTTAAGCAAAATGCTCAGAGTCACATAACTGAGGAGCTGGGTGACAGCTGGAGTTCTTTGACTAAATAATTACATTACGGTAACTAAAAAATATGTATATAAGACTGTGCTAGCTTGTATTTGTCTACTCTTTATGTATTTTGCTTTCTGTAGGTGCTACAATTTTCTGAGACTGGATTGGTAAGAGAAATAAAGTTCAGTTAAGTATACTATCTTCAAAGAGCTAGAATTATGGGATACTCATAAGATACTCCACAATGTAGATACTTCTCATTAGTGATGAGGCTACAGCAGCTGCCCTTTTCTCTTTTTCTTTTTCTTTTTTCCTTTCCTTGAGTTCAACATGTTCAACACTAACACATACGGAAGAGCTGAACCAAGAAAATGGCCAACAGAGCAGAATCCTGTCTTACACTGGTCATCAGTACCCAGGCTCAGAGAACTACTGCCAAACAACAACCCAAATGTGCCTGCATAGCTTCACTCTGAGTCTTTAAAGGACATTCAAGTTACATAAGTTCTTCTAATATGGATTTAAAATATTATAATATTGTGATTCAAATTGGTTAAAAGCCAAACATAAGCAGAATCTCCTTTTTAAAACAAAGAAACTAACCAACTGAAATCTGATGTTAGGTTGCAATGTGCTGATGTGTGAAAAACAAAACAAAACAAAACAAAACAAAACAAAAAAAGAAACTAACCAAGTAAGCAACAAACCTTATTTCCCAAGAAATGAGCAAAACTGGAGTGTGGTCCCCAGGTCACACAGTTAACTGTGGAGATGCTGTTACAGTCTGTACCTGAGTGCCCTTGGTGACCTGACCATGCTGCTTCTTTGGTCCAAGGTAGCTTCTCACTCACCTTTTTGCCTACGTCAACCCTTTAAAACCCACTAGTGGATCCTCTTGCTTTTATGTAAGTTATCAAACCATGAAATAAATACACACACATTGTGAAACATTCTGGAAAATGTAGGCAACACTAACAAATAACATGGGATGTTCTCAGCATCCCATCATCCAGAGCGAATTATCAACATTTGTTTGGAACAAGGACAAAACCATCTGAAACAATTTTATCTCTTGCATCCTGGCTTTGTAAGCTGCAAAGGCTGCTTTCAGAATTCTTCTGAGAACAATAGGCTCTTGAGCTGAACTAGTGTCTTCGTGACAAGCGTGCCCTGTCCCCAGCCCAGCCTACTTCTCCCTTACACAGGTCCAGAAAGTTACGGTTTGCACGTGGCACAGTGCCTTGCCCAGACTGCTTTTTCTTGCCTCGCCCTCCTCTCTGAAAGCTTCCCAGACTTCTAAACTTGAGAAAGGCTCAGATCACAGGAAAAGCCAATATGCGCAGTCTCTCATGGCTATACAGACAACTGTTTTGTTTTTTTTTTACCAAAAACACTTTGGCAAGAAGCAACGAAACTGTAAAAGCCACCCCGACAGCCTCCCGTGACCTCCCGCACATCACACGCAGAGCCACGTGGCCGGCACAGACCTGTTTGCATCACTTTCAGTTTGCCGCCAGGTGGAGACTGTTCTACCTGCATTTAAAGAAACAAACAGAGCACTGAAGCCAGCAATTTGTCATCACCCCTAGAAGGAAGGGGCAGGACTGCTACTTATTATGCAGGCAGAACACTCGGGTCCTCTTTTCTGCAGGTGAGGAAGTGCACCAAGTGAACACGGACGCTGTGCTTCTCCCGGGGCTGCCTGGGCCCCTTCCTGGCCACTCCAGTCCCTGGCAGTGGGGGACATGTAGCACAGCCCAATGTTAAAATCCCAACCCCAGCGAACCAGCTCACACACTGGGAAATGCGCTCATACACGCCCCTTCGGTTTTGCTGTTTTACAGTAATTCTGTGGTCTCCACGGAAATGGAGCCCCAAAAGGGTCTCGGTGCCACAGGGCTGCGGGTCAGTGCGGAGCTGAGGCTCGAATCCCGTGTGCTTCTGTTAGGTCAGCGGACGTGGGTCTGTCCTTTTAATAATGTCACTGACACGCGTGCAATGAGAGCCTGACACAACCATTCGGCTGGCCTCATACTTCAGGGTCAAAGATAAAGAACGTTTAAAAAGAGCACGTATCACTGAGGAGTTTTCTGCATTGAAATCAGAGTACAATTTACTACAAAAGGAATGTGGCAGAAAGTAGGAACACGGTGAGGCACCAGCAATTTCCCTAAAGAAGCCACTACCGAACACCACGAAATGCAGCAAATTATATTTCAGTGATGGGAGACCACAACAGTTAAGTCCCTAGAAGATTTTTATGTAATCGAACTCACAAGTGAGGAAGGAATCGGACTGAAGAACTAATAATGTATATGTAAAAATATTAGTAATCAGATGTTATGTGAATGGTTATCAATGTTTTATTTTTAAAAAGCCATTCAGAGCTTTTCAAATACTTTTTACAAATAAAGTTGTTCAAAATATTAGATACTGTGTACCCTTTCAAGGTCAAGAGCAAACATTCGCAGAGTTCTCATCTTTTGCAATTACTTACGGTGACAAGGCCAGCATCTGCTTTGCAGTCTTCTTCTAAAAAATGCAAAAATAAATCTCACTTAGAAACTCAGCTTGAAAACTGCTTGTGTGAACTAAAAACACACCGAACAACCTACTTGTTTTCAATGCTGTCTCCACGGGGTGTTTACGAGGTCTTCCTCTTTTCCTTTTAACAATTACTGGCTGATCTTCCTAAAGGGAGAAGGCAAACAGATGACTTTCATCCTCTATGACACAAACATCATCTCACTTTCTCCAAATGAGACTCAGACTTCCTTCCAAGAGGCTCTGTCACCCAGAAAACGCGGGCCCTGGGGCTCAGAGCTGTCCCCTTGCCTCCAGCACTGGCAGCTGCGTGTGAACCCACAGTCCTGAGGATTCGGAGGCAACACAACGCACGTGAACAATCTGTGTCAGCCTTCACTTCTGGAATAAATATGCACATCCATTTAAATTGGGGGTTAGTTCAGTCACTTGTGACCAAACATTGTTCCTTATGAAGAATAAAGGAGACCACTGATTATCTCATACAGAAGTATGAGAACACAGAAGGGATTATTTAAAAGAGGGCAAACTTGGCAATGGCTGGTCACCTAAAAGATCTGGCTGGGGGGCAGGCTGTCTCCCTGGGTTTCTGGGCCTGTCCCGGCCAGTGCAGTTCTGGGCCCCACTGGGCTCTGCAGATCTGAACAGGTCGGGAGTGAGCAGCCTCCAAGGAGGCCGTGTGAACCTGGGTCCCAGGTGGGGCCGCTTGGTGGGCCTTCTGCACACCCTGCTGCTGCTGCTGCTCCCATTCTGTCCTATCCAGACACCTGGCCCAGCAGCACCCTGCTCTCTGGCCTGACCCAGTGCGTGGCTCGGCTGTGCTAAGCTGCCAGGGTGGGAACCTGACGTGGCCAAAGAGGCACAGCTCTGGGCGATCCTATGTGGCTGTAACAGAAGTAGGTCTCATACAAATGACTGGATGAAACGAAGATGAAAAGAACAAAATTAATCAAAATGACACTGATAAAATACCCTGTATGAAATGGTGTCCTGCTATGCTTAAAAAATAGCTTCTTCGACTCCTTCGATATAAATTTAGGTAAAAGCATTTAGTGCATTTGCTTTTAGTCCTTAAGTTAATCAGAAGAAACAAATATGAAAGCCTTCCTTACCTCCTGAGATTTTACGTTGTCCTCATCAATTTGCTCTGCCTTTTCGCCAGCAGCTTCGCCGCTGCTGTATTCATCTGCAGGAACAGTAGAGCTTGGTCACAGCCGGGGACACGGCCAGCCTCATGGCTGGGACACCGCCCAGGTGACTGGCACAGTCCCTGTCACACATGCACATGCACTCCACTCTCAGGCCTGTGCCACCAAAGTTAGTAAGCCAGAGTCTGGTTAACTGGTAAGCAGCACACTTTGGGTGGAACTGGATCCGAATGAGAAATGACACCCAGGCCCTACAGATGTCAAGCAAGTGCGTGACTGGAAGGTCACAGGGAAGTAAAGGAGAGAAGGCCGTTGCAGCAGGTGAAGCCTGGCTAGAGATGCCGGCTGCCTGCAGGGTTAGTCTCCTCTCACAACTCATCTCGCGGTGCAGAACTCACCTCGCTCTTCCATGGCTCTCGAAGCAGTGCTGCTTGTGTTAGGACTTGTTTTAGACGACTCTTCCAAGTCCCCAGAGCTCTCTTCCTGCGGAGAAGTTAAACAAGAAGCCTCTTTTCCAAACTGCCTCCAGTTATCCTCCCAAAGTTTCCCTTTCTATTTCAAAAACAAATTTCCCAGTGGCCTTTCAAAATAGTTTGTTGCAAACTGCTTCAAAAAAGTAACTATTGCTGCTGCTAGTGAAACTATAAAAAAGATACATATTTTGAAGGCAGAAGAACATGAGATAAGATTCAACCATAAAGCACCAAGGCTGCTATTTTTTTGTTCCGCCCCTGCAAAATGGAAATCACTCTTCTCCTTCCCCCGGACTTTGTGTTTTTAGAGGGAAATTCTACAGGAAGACAGAAACTGGTACAGATTTTTTTCTTCCCCTGGGAGGGAGGGATAAACTGGAAGGGTCTTCAGTGGGGCTGACTGACAGCAATGCTCTCTCCCTCCAGTTAAATTACTCACTTAGGTAGCAAAAATGTTTTGAGTATGAAACACCAGAATGTTTACATTATAATACTAATATATGAACACACACAAAAATATATATATAAGGCTTAATCTTAAGAGTGCTGTTTCATAATACTGAAAATACTACACATACGACTTTTTACAGAAAAGAACGAAAAAATGAAAAGGTGCCCTCCGATCAGCTTCTCCACAAACTGCCGCTCTGGGAGGCAGCCTTCAAGGCCCTTCCTTCCTTGGCCACAACCAGTTGAAATTCATAATATGTGACTTACTTTCTTCAGTTGTTGACATTCTTTTACTACTTTTTATTTAGTTCATTGGCTACTAAGGGAAAAAAGGGACTCTGAACTGCCTTCAGTGCCTGGAAGTCCGCTGCATGTATCTTTACAGGCTGATTTAACTCCTTTCGGAACAAGGTGGAAAGAGAGGGAACGAGGAGATGGAGCGAGTCTGGAATAGACACTGAGGGGCACTGAGTCTCAGAAATGGAAGAGAATCAGCTGATATCCAGGAGCGGTGTCAGCCAGTGGATGGAGAAAGCTGGGCCTGGAACCAGAGGAGGGGGGGCAGAGACAAACGACGGGAGCCCCGAGACGGAAACAGACCACAGGGGAAGGCAGTGGGTGCCGCCCGTCCTTGCACGGTGTGCGTTTTAGGGGCGGGGAGTAAAGTACAGAGAAGGCAGAACATTGCAATTTTTAAATTAACATGCACTCCTGCATTTCACCGATTTGGTGTGTATGTATCTGTAATAAAGCACATCACACTTTGGAAGAAAGCACCTAAAAACCCAATGAAGTCAACAATATGAACAAAATCGAAGCAAGGATTACATCTAAAACTGTGATAATAATCATATAGTATAAAATTATATAGCAATCTAGACTTAAAACCTATATAATATTATTAACCAACGTCACCAATAAATTTTTAAAAAGGTAAAAAAAAAAAAAAAGAAAAAGTTGTCCCTGGATTTCTATTAGTTTCTATCTTACGACAAATTACATACTAAATGTAATTTCTTCTGTAAAAAAATCAAAATAAAAAAAATAAAGTGCAATATCTGTGTTCTTCTTGAGCCTAAAAATATAGCCTTTACAATACAGAGATTAACGTTAGACATATATAAAAAGGGATAAAAGAATGAAAAAAATATGTAAGTATTCACAGTGATAGAATCAGGTTACTCCAAAAATTTTAAATGAATTATATGAAAAAATACCTTTGTGTCTTGTGGCTCAGTTTCAGAACGTTGCTTCTGTGCTGTTTCTACTTTGGAATCCAGGACATCTGAATTATCATCTATAAATCAGTTTGGACAGAATCACAAAGGAATACAAAGTTAAATGAAAACGAAAAGCGCAGTTCTATTTTAAGACAGTCTGAGACTTTTCTTAAGCTTCTGATGCAGTGAGGCAAGTGATTCTAAATGTACTTTTAATATCATGTGATTTGAGCACTGAACACAGGCCTTAGCTTTGGCCAAGCCAAAAATTAATAAATAATACAAAACCCCACAAATGCTCATGACACCAAAACACAGCCATTCTATGGAAAAGGCTTAGGGTGGGCAGAGTCCCCAGAGGTATTTGACCTTCCTAAACAAGTACCTCAGACACGGTGGCAAACACAAGGCCGAAGGCTGAACCTGTCGTCCCGCCACCTGGTTTTATCCGACCCGGCACCTGTTTCCACCCGGCAGCAGCGCCAACCTCTCACTGAACTGCTGTGGGGTAGTTACAGTTACGTGATCCTGAAGTTACTTCAGCCCTTTAAAGGCAACCATGAGGCTGATTGGCCCCCTGTGAAAATGAGTTTGACACCCCTGAAGAGGTACAAATTAATGACTAAGCTCATGTGCTTGGCTGCGAATCTCTCCGAATCTTATTTTCTTTTTTTATTAAGTGGTGATAATACCTAACACATAGTTACTATCAATATGTATATAGTACCACGGATAATATCCATAGTATGAATTCAATATTATGAAATAGTTATATTCCTTACCACAAAAGTGTTTATCCATTCTTTCTCATGTATTATTTAATAAGTGCTTATTGAATTTGTACTTGGTATCAGATATAAAGTATACAAGTCTCTGCACTGTCCAGTATGGTAGCCACTAGCTGCATGTGCCTACTGAAATTTAAATTAATTGAAATGGAATAGAGTTAAAAATTCAGCCTTTCATGTGTCCTGACCCCACTCAAATGCTCAACAGTCTCACATGGCTGGTAGCTGTTGTCCTGGACAAACAAATACAGACTAGAGCGCTTTCCATCACCGCAGTAAGTTCTACTGAGTGAAACTGTTTCAGACCGAAAGGAAGTCAGACAGTGCGAGGCCCAGAAGGGCCGCTGTGCACCTCTGCCATAGTGCTTCCTGAGCTCTGCTGGGCGTCTGCTTCTGATCCCAGGCCGGTTACAGAGGGAGCCTGGGTCTTGTGTGTTCTAGGAAACAACATAGTTTCTAGATCAAGTCCAGGAACAACCCCACAGGTGTCGAGGGAGGCTGGAAACAAACGAACTCACGAGCTGGGAAGTAAACAATTGCAGTTTACCCTTGAACAAGCAGGCTTGACTTTTAAAGTCTGTAATCTACATGGAGCCAGCAGTTCAAACCCACATTCTTCAAGGGTCAGCTGTATTTTCTACCCTCAGCAGGGAAGCTGAGTATTCGGAGAGCTCACTTACCGTTACACTCAGATGTTCAACTTTGTAGGTGGCCAGGGCCCCAACCCTCTTGCTGATCAAGGGTCCACTGCACTACCCTCTAGAGCAGGGGTGTCAAACTCATTTTTACTGGGGGCCACATCAGCCCCACGGTTGCCTTCAAAGGGCTGAATGTAATTTTAACTCCTTAACAGTTAAGGACTAGTTACATTTATACAGCCCTAAAATTACACTCGGCCCTTTGAAGGCAACCACGAGACTGATGTGGCCCCTGGTGAAAGAGAGTTCGACACCCTGCTCGAGACTTTCTGTCATCAGCCACTATCTGCATGTGAAGATAGTACGATTTTCAAAGATGTCTGAAACAGGAAGATGTATACTCTGAATACCCAGTTCATCTTCTGAAGAGGCATAATGCTTCTTTCTTTTTCTTTTAGGCGTATGCCTTTCTTTCTCTTCCACCTGGAATTAAGAATGACTCTGTTAGAGGCACTTGAATTTGCATCCTGTCTACTGAAATGGACACATTAGCTTCTCGCCTTTGGAATATGTTTTTATATACTTTTTAAAAGTTTAAAATAATACTTTTGGCATCTAGATTTGAATTAGACTAAGCTTGAGTCTTTTTTTAAAATTCTAACATAAATCCATACAAAATAGTCAAATCCGCTTCTGGTTATATACTGTATTTCAACGGTTCTAAACTACATTGAAAAAAGTAGTTGTTATTTTACCATCTCCGAAGTCAAGCTATGCCTTATCATCAACAGCATGTCCTGGGCTAACTGGTAGTGTTTCTCTTCGAGTGCCCACAAAAGGCAGCAAATGCAAAAGCACGCCCGAGTGCACCACGTGGACACTTCCAGTGACCCTGGCAGCTGTCAGTCACCTGGACTTTAGTGAGCACACATGGACGGAAGTGACAGGAGAACCCTCACCACCCCACTGTGTTTTTCACATACACCGAGAAGTCAAGCCTTTAGGCACAGGTGAAATCACTGTGTATCAAACCGGAAATCCGCAATTCTAAATTATGAAAACCTACCTCTTTAGAATTTGCTTCAACACTGCGACCTCTTATGTCTTCTGTGTTGTCTTTGCTACCACTGGACATGCCTGAGTAACAAACATGAAAAAGAAAACCCACCTTAACTATTCATTAATTCCAACACTTATTTTAGGGGTGTGTGGCGGGGGAAGGGAAGGAGGGTGTAGAACACTGTACGGATGACGGTGATGGCTCCTCATGACAACTATGCCAGTAAAACCCCCCAGTTTCCATTTCCAGATGTGAGTGAACAGGACTCGGGGAGGGAAGAGGGTCCCTGGGCTGGACACGCAGCCCGTGCAGCAGCATGGCATGCAGAAGTGTCCGAAGAAAACAGGAGGTACCACGTCGTACTCATCGGGTCAGCGACCATCCCAAACCACCTGACAATACCAACTGTGGGACAGGCAGGGAGTGACCACTGGGAAACCACCTGGCGACAACCTGGCACATTCAGTCAAGTGGGAGAGGTGCCTACCGACCCAGCAATGGCGCACCTGGAGTGACAGGAGCGCTCACTACACAGGCACTGGGAGACAGGGACAGGATCCCACGTGGGAGCACTCTACATAATTGGGAGAAGTGCCAAAAAAACCTAAAGAAGCAAAAAATAGTAACTGCTCTATTCACATGTGGAACACTAAAGAGCAAAAGAAAAAAAAGTAACTAGACAGCCACCAACACGACGACATCTCAGAACACAATGCCGACTGAGCACACGTGGAGGAGGCGGGTCCCCAGCGCGGCGCCCTCCTCCGAGAACGCGCACTGGAGGCTGTGTGTCGTGCACGGGAACAGACAGCGGCTCCCTGTGGAGCACACAAGAGGAGACTGGGACCGGGACGGTCCAGTGCGGGTTCAATTGTATCTGTAACGTTTTTAAACAGCGTTTGAAGCAAACGTACTAAGTTTCAAGATATGACAAAACTAGGTGATGAGTACAAGGATTTACAATTATTGCTGCTTTAGTTTGGTTTGAAATATAGTATAACACGTTATGAAAATAACTGCATCGGGGATTGCGACCTCTTTCCCCCATTCCTGGAATAGAGAATCAACAAAATCAGTAGGAAGAAGATCCTACGGTCTGTCTGAGAAGGGAACTGCCCCTCTGGTGCTGGCAGTCCTCACGGTGCTGGGGAGCGAGAGGACCTCAGCCTGGGACGTGGCACTCCCGCGCTGGGCCCACCTGAGACCGTCAGAAGGTAACGGCGTCCGGTACTCAGCACAGAACTTCTCCGACAGTACAGACCACAAGGACTGTATCCTCTGCACTTGTGACGGACTGAGTCCACTGTGAGGTGACTGGCGACGTTCTAGTGTTTACGGCAAGGCGCCACCTATAAGCTGCGTGGCCTGGAACCAGCCACTGGGCCTCTCACGCCTCACCGTCCTCAACTACTGACGCAATGCTGTTTGCACTCACCTTACTGGATCGCAGTAATAAATGAGGGAAAACCTGACAAGTACGGTAATAGGCACAGGGCGAGGCACATATAATCACTGTGAAAATCACTACTCTGAAATCCATTAACCTACCTTCTTTGTTAGGACCTTTGCTGTGCATTTCTTCATTTGTTCTTGAGCCTGAGTTTTTGACCTGAACATACAACAAAAAATGTTGTTAATGGATAACCTGAGAAGTCTTGAGAGCAGAAAGGAGAAAAAAAAGGTAATTTACATGACTGGCTGTTTGTGGGATGATGAAAGGAGGTGGAATACATGTTCCCTTTTTTTAATTTCACCATCAAGTTCAAGAGCACAGAGCCATTTAATAAATTATCATCCTGCTATGTTTATTCTCTTTTAAAATGGCATGGCAAAGGAATAATACAAGGATATACTTCTGATTCTATGCATTCTTTTCCCATCCAATGGTCCCCCATGATACTTCTTCCCTTATTTAAAAATTCTAAGGGATCCTGTCATTCTGTCCTGGGATTTCCCTTTGGTAAATCTTGTCAACTGTACTTCTTGTTTCATTTTATTTACTTATGTATTTATGTATGTGTTCATTTACCTATAGACGAATAGATGGACTGATTAGTTGTTCCACTTATTTATGCATTTATTGGTTCATTCTTGTATGTGCCCTGACTGAGGATTGAACCTGAAACCTTGGTGTATCAGGATGATGCTCTAATCAACTGAGCTACTCAGTCAGAAGTTTTTGTTTCTTTTTTTTTACTGAGGGGAGGTCTCAGGACATCCTACAATATTTGAAATCCTAGCTGCAGAATTCCATGCCTATTTAGAAAGGATGGCAAGGCCGAGTGGGGACTTGGATTCGGGGAAGCGCTGCGGTGGGATGGAGACGTTCTCGGGGCTTCCGGTGGCCTCGCTGGCTCTGCAGGGTAAACCTGAACCACACAAGTGGGGTTTCCTTCCTTCCTACTCAGCAGACTGTGTGTGAGCTTCCCGCTACAAGACAGTGTTTCAACAGGGCGAGGAGGGCCCTCTGATGCCAGCTGTCTGGTACTAAGTCCTCTAGGAGCTCAGGAAAGGATGTGCCTGCCTGCAGTTTGCAAGCGTTTTCAAAATGTTCGCTCCTGGTATGATATCAGGTCTCCAAAAACGCCTTCAGAAACACAAAAAGGAAAAACAGCTTACAAGTACATAAGGGACTGCAAGAGCTACATGTGAAAAAAAAATGTATACATGGCCATTACAGTTTGGTATCTTCAGAAAAGCCTTCCAAAAACATAAAGCTACTTACTGTCAGTTCTCAAAACAATATCTGTTTTGCCTGCAGTACAGTGATCAATTCACGTCACAAGCTGACCTGCGATGCCTTACAGTCGTCCGAACAGGAAGTTCGGTTCTCTGAAGGGCTTCATTAGCACTCACACACCGGGTGAGCCTTCTAGTCTGAGCCACGTGGGCCTTCTCCTGTCCTCGGTGTCATTTCATGACGCTGGCCTAGATTCCACGCTGCTGAATGCAGAGTGACTTTTCTGGGGGTGGGCAGTGGGGAAAACAACCATATATATTTCATAACAAACCTATTTCAGGTTTGTTACAGCTGACTGTAGAAAAGACCAAGTCAAGACCCTGGTCAGTGTGTTGAACTTGCGTGTAGAGCATGTCACCTAGGGCCTCCTGTCTCCTTCGGAAACGCGCAGACGACCCCCTCAGGACGTCCCCTCCATGGCCACTCTCAACGCGCTAAATCAAGACGACCCAGGGACGATAACGAAACCCTGCACTGGGGCGACTTACCCTCAGTGATTCGTTCAGCACCAAAGGCTCCCTCTGAGGTTCAGCTGTTCAAAACAGAAGGGAGAAGTGAGGAAACTGAGCTGCAGGGACACAAACTTAGAGATGTTTAGGGCAGTGAGGTAGGACTACACTGCTAAGGGAATTATAAAATTCTGACGAATCGTCTTCCACAACCCACGTCTGTCACCCTATGAGCAGAACCCCGGAAATGCCTGCTGCTGCCTGTCTACTGTAACGGCAGTGGTCCCTCGGTCACTCCGGTGCCTGCTGTGCTCATGACCGGAAGCTCAGAGGAAAGCTGGAAGACCTTTACTCAGTGCTAAGCCACAGGGCAACACTGGTTCATTGAAAAAATAATGCCATGAAATGGAAAGTTAGCTCCCAGCCCCTGGAACAGCAAAGATCTATTTATATATTTATATTCTCTGGAAACATGAAGTACAAAGTCTACTGTTTCTACTCAACAGTGACAGAACGCACATTTTTCTTCTGAACAACTTCCTTTTACGTAAGCAGGTCTCCTATTGAACCTACGTACCTAAACACAGTCATCTGAATTATAATGTGGGAACACAGGGCTTCAGAACCTCCATGATGGTACCTTTGGGACCATAACAAGTGGAATGTGAACGATGGGTTCTGTAATTCATACACACAAATTTTAACTAATTCCCCTTTCTGAGTTTTGGATCCCTCTGTCAGGGTCAGGGTTTCCACACGTTGGCCCGAGGGGCTCACCAGCCTGGGAGTGGTCGTCCAGGCCTGCCTGATGACCTGCCTGCAAGCTTCTCCAGGTCGCATCCTGTGACGGCTGCCTGGGAAGGATGCACACACAGGACACCCTGCGTGATGCCTTTCTCTGCCTTTTGCACACCTACTCACCCTTTGACATTTGGCTCCAAAAAAGGGGAAGAGAGAAGTGTTTATCAAAATTCAAAACTTATATATTCTTTGACCTCCCAATTCAATTTTACGGAAATACTTGGGGGAAACACATAATTAAGTGAGTGTGGAAGTTCACTGCAGCTTTATTTACAATAGTAAAAACAATAAAAATTGGAGATTGCTAAGATCTACAAATAGGAAAATGCATTATGGATTACTATTCAGATGAAGTCAATCTGTATATACTGACAATGAAAAAAGCCCACAATATAAGGCTGAGTAAAAAAAAGAAAAAAAAATTACAGCACAGACGCTGTAAGTATTATGATTTCATGCCTTAACTGGTGTGGCTCAGGTGGTCCTCCCATAAAGCAAAGGGCTGCTGGTTCGAGTCCCAGTCAGGGCACATGCCTGGGTTGCGGCCGGGTCCCTGGTTAGGGTATGTGAGAGGGGTCTGATCAACAGATGTTTCTCTCCCTCTCCCCCCCTGCCTTCCCCTCTAACTACACATGACATTATGGCTTCTCCCCCAGCACCTCCCCAGCCCAGGCTGTGGTCCAGGGCACAGTGTGGCTTCAGAGATGGCAACAGCACTTAGTTTAGGGTGCACAAAGCTACCTAAGCTGAATTGGAGTAAATCTTGGGATTTTGGCCACAAATGGTAGGACAAGGATATTTTTCCAGAGATCATAAATGAGAAAGCAGTTACCCCTGCTGGAGGCCAAAGGAGAAGAGAAGAGATCGGGCCTTTTTAAGGTGTCTGTGGGGACACCATCATGCTCTGAAGTCACGAGCCTTTACTTTCAGGTTTGTGCATGCTATGGACTGGATGTGTGTGTGCCCTGCAATTCACATGTAAGACCTAGTCCCCAGTGTGACACTGTTTGAAGCTGAGTGCTGAGAGGTGATGAGGTTTAGATGAGGTGCTAGGGGTAGGCAGGGTTCCCGTCATGGGATTAGTGTCCTTATAAAAAGAGAAGACACGAGATAATCTTCTGTGTGATGCCCCCCCACCCCCACCGAAGGTCACATGAGGAAATAACCAGGAAGAGAGTCTTCGCTCGGAACCTGACTAGGCTGACCTCATAAATTCAGACTTCCCAGCTCTACAACTGTGAGAAGTAAATATTTTTGTTTAAGCCACTCAATCTACAGAATTCCCGCAACCTGAACTAAGACAACGAGCTAACAAATTAAAGCAAATATCTGTAGTTTTATTACTTGCAACCAAATCACCCTGACTCTTCCATCTGACTTGCACAGACATTTCAATGTTGTCAAAAACAAAAAACAACTAGCTTATATTTGATCACATATGCTGCAGTTCCTGTCACTTTTTTCCTGGTTAATATGTGAAGCAGAAGAAAATGTACAGTAACGACTAGAGTACAACCCTGGAAAACCTCTCTAATGTCACGATTCTTCGCATTTCCATTTCCCTAGCCCTGTGGTTCTCAGAGTGTGGCCTTGGCCCTCTCGGGAGTTCCTAAGACCTCCCGTTACGGGTACGCAAGGACCAAAGCACAGTCACAGCACTAAGATGCTGTTCACCTTTTAAACTCATGAGTGAGTACACAGTGAGGTTCCAGAGGCCATATGATGTCCCCACAATTATCTGAAAAGATTGTTATAAAAATCCAACTGTACATGTGTGATGCTGGATTTTCTTCATATGCTTCAGCCAAGACAATGGACTAGCAACAGACTGACTATAGAAACATATAAGAGAAGCCCATTTTCTCTTAATCTAGACTTAGAGATTTGCAAAAATGTAAAATGTTACTTTTCTTACTAGATTTTGTTTTGGAACATCTAGCTATTTTTCATGAAAAACAATGTTATTTATGTTAACTTGTGGCAGCGAGTTAATTATACTCAATGCATATTTTATAACTTTCTCAGTTTTAATTTATTTGGTAAATGTTAACAGGTATAATCCACACAAGAAAAGTTCTCTGTGGTCCTTGCTGAATTTTAAGTGTCAAGCGGTCCTGGACCAGGGAGTTTGAGTCGCTGCCCTAACCTTTCCTGACACTGGGCACTCCCCTAAAAAGTCTGCAGTGGACAGTGACCCCTGAGGCTCAAGGAGACCGGAAGAGACTGCAAGCTGGGAGTAGCTCGGGCACAGTCTAAGGATCAGAGCAGGGCTGTAGAGAAGTGGGCGCACCAGCTGCTGACCTGCCTGTTGCAAATGAGCTGTGACAATAGCGCCTAGAAGGGAAGGAAAGTACAAAGACACATTTGGGGACGGGGCGAGAGTGTGCTCAAAGCAACCTTCTGTTTGCCACGACGATTTGGAGCTAACGGATTTGGAGAATCACCTCATATAAAGCTGATTGACACTTCATAAGAAAAGGTGTATGCTAAAAATGAAATCATAGAGTTTCTCACTAACCTATTTTAAAAAGTGAGAAGCCAATTCCTACAGCCTGTCAGCATATTGTCATGAACCAGCTACTCATTTTAAGCTGCAACAAAAGGTAATCCAGCTGCTAGGAGCTTACCTGTCCCAGTCAGCTTTCTCCCACGTGGACGTTCTGATGGTGCTGGAATTTCATGACTGTTCTCTTCTTCCGCTAACAGAACTGTCTAAGAAGCCCAAAGCACCATAGAAAAGAGTTAACTACAGTTTTTACAACAAGAAGGCAAGACGAACCTCAAATGAATGGGAAAGCGCCCCCAAAAGAAAACACCCCAGCATCTTGTAACAATATACAAGCCCACTTTCAAATCTGTGCACAATTTCAAAATGAATATATGTCAGCCTTTAAAAACAAACCAAAAAAATGAATCTGATCCATTTAATTGAAGCCACCCATCAGTGACTGCTCTCCTACTGCTTTAAAATTAAAACTCCAATTCAGTGCAACACACAAGGCCCTTCCCGCTCAGCACCACTCCCCAGCACCGCACCACCACTGACCTAAAACCACCGCAGTGCCCGGGACGCACCGCTGGCCCTTCCCTCTGTCTAGAACATGCTGCTTTGATTGTAAGGCTTTCTTTCTCTGCTGGTATACTTATACTCTAATTGCAAAATTCAAACACTAACTCAAATGTCCTCGTTGCAAGCCCTCCTGTCTGCCTACACACTGCTCCAGCTCGGTGAGGAGAGCCCCCTCTGCACTGTTCACAGTGCCCACGCTTGCCACTGTGCTGTCGTGCATGCCTGCAGGGTGCCACGAGATCGGGTGGGAAGGGGATAGGGAGACTAGGTTAGGTATGTATACCAACAGGCTGTGATAAACTAGCTTTTATTCTAAGTATGATGGAAAGCCACTGGAAAACTTAAGCAGCATAATGACATGACCTAATTTATGGTTTTCAAGATGGCTCTCAGGGCTGTACCGATAATCCCAGACTGGAGGGGGTTGGAGAGGGAGGTAGTTCGGCAGGGACACTACTCAAGCCCTGGCTTATACTGGTGTAGTAACTGCAGAAGCAGAAACAGATGGACTCAAGTTATACCCTGGAAACAGAAAATGTAAGAATTGATAATGGAGCCCTGACCAGTGTGGCTCACTCGGTTGGGCATCATCCTGCAAAGTGAAAGGTCAGCAGTTCAGTTCCCAGTCAGGACACGAGCCTAGGTTGTGGGTTCCGTCGCTGGTCAGGCTGCAAACGGGCGGCAACCAATTGATGTTTCTCTCTCACATCAACGCTTTTTTCTCTTTCCCCCTCCCTTCCCCACTCTCTAAAATAAATACATGCATACACATACACACATACAAAGAACTGGCAATGGAGTAAACGTGGAGTGACAAGGGGAAACAGAGAGTGACTCTCAGGTTTCTGGTTTGAGTAAATGGAACGAATGATGGCATTACTCACGGAAATCACGGAGGCATTTGGCTCCCACCACCCCGATGTAACAATAATAATACTTAAGTGTCTTAAGTACAATAAAAACAAGAGAGGTATATACTGCTTAAATGCATACGTGTATACACAGGGTGAAACGGCACTTAACACCATTCAAAGCTCAGCATACCTGTGTTATCAGCCATACCTCAGTTTTCAAGTTGGCTTTCAAGTCCAATCCTCCCAAAACATTCGATGGACAGCCTTCGTGGCCTAATGAAATTTAAAACCATTAAACCAATGTAAGAATCTGCTTGCAAAATACAATCTGAACCAAAAGATAACAAAATGTTCTTATCTAGCATGCCATGCCCACTTAGCTGTTTTATTTTGTAATCAGTAGAAAAGAATAGAAACGAGTATTATGAAACTTATTGGGAAAAGCAGGGATCATTCACTTTTTGCGGAGGGCGCACTGTTTCTTGCTGTTAAGATGGCTGCCCAGAAAGTGTTATTTGTGGATACATCTTATTTCCAGGTGTTTAGGGAAATATTCTGGGCCACTGAGGAATATTCTTGATAAAAAAGGTGATTTATGAATACTCATTTCTCTCACTTTATGCTGGCACAGCAAAATCAAACATGAAGTTAAAAACCTGTGAAGCAGATGAAAGAAAATCGAGTTTTTCTCTGGTGGAGCCTCAAGTCTATCCCTGTCTTGGACCCTTTCTTTCCTTCCCTCCCCTGTGCTTCTGTGACTTGTGGCTCATATAAGTCTCCAAAAAAAATCCTTTCTCCAAGAGACTGCAAGCTTTTCCTTGCTAAAGCGTTTCTATCTTTTTGCTCCTTCAAGAAAAATAGAGGCGGTGCAGGAATGGGGAGGAAGGAGTAACAGGCTATAGGGGTGACTGAGTCATAAAACGTACAGAGCATTCACTTTACCTCAGGCTACATTCAATGCAGAATTTTAAAGTTACTTATTTCAATGCTGTGAACATTTCTTAATGGCTCCTGCTTAAGTTCCTGTAGTGAACAGGATGGAACCACGGGCCTGCTTCCTGAGGTTGCATTTGAGGGGACGGGTGCCTGTGCCAGCTTGGAAGCCCAGGATGCTGCGGTTCACACCGCCACAGCGGGGGAGGAGCCAACGCCCCTGACCCTCTCAAGTGTAGCCCAGGTCCCTTTGCGTCCTTATAGCATCCTGTGCTTTACCTGGTTCTAAGCACGTGCCCCACGACAGTGTCACTGCCTACTTCCAACACACGGCTGAACTCACAGCTTCGCCCCGTGCTGACTATTTCCCTGGGCACCCCCAGGGCCCAGCACAGTCGGAGCTGGTGCACAGTGTCCACAGTTGGATTGTATACTGAATGACTGCACTCAAAGCTTATACACTGAAAGTTATCAACCATTTCTAATAAGACCAACATTCCCTGAAACCTGTTAGGAGAGAACACATTTTCTCTTAAACAAAATCTAAGCCAGAAACTGCTCATTTTATCTGAATAAACTCAGTTTTTTTTAAAGTGCTCCCTTGATTAAACTAAGCAGTTGGATTGACACATACTGCAAATCTGTGTCAGATTAGAATAGAAATGATGCTTATTTTTGTATTATCCTCATTTTCTAGAACAGAGCAATGTTTTCTAAAAGGCATTCAAGTACCATGCCAGATATATCAACTCTGTGAACCTATCTGCTCTATTGTAAAATAGGGGTGATAAAAAATGACTAATTCCACAGGGTTGACGAGATACCTGAAGGTCAGGGAGGTTTAGGAACCCGCAGTATCCCCCACCTCTTCCCTCCCTGTCCATGAGAAGTGGGTCTGAGGCCTTAAGCTTTGAACAGAGTATCTTTTGGAGAAGCCTGACCTTCAAGTTTGACAAGTTATTCTGTGACATTCTGGAACCAAAACCATGTTTTGGAAGGCTGTTGTAAATTTACTCTACACACAATCTCTGTAAAACGCGAACGTTTTCAATTAGAGACATTCTCACCTATGCCACCCAAATTTTCTTCAGAAGAAACCGCAACCTTGAGGTCTCCTTCCTTCCGAAAGGATTTCACCACGCCATCTCCTGTTTTCTCAGCTGACGCCTGGACGGTCCGTCGTGATCCACTATGATCACTCTGCACGGTCAAGTCCTGCTTACACTCTGGTGCTGACAGGGCCACCCGACAGGCAGCTGGAAGGGCTGCACGGGAAGGAGCGATTTCGGATTCTTGGCCATGAATACACTTGGTGGTGGTTTTCAAGTCACCCTCGGGCTCCTGCTGGGTGGGAGGAAGAGAGGGCTGCTCTGTGTCAGTGTCTCTGACGTGTGGCACGTCACCAGCTAGTTTAGCACCAGTATTTGCTGCTGTCAAAGAGCGAATACTGATGGAGTCCTCAGCCATCAGCGTTTGCTCTGGTCTTCTCAGGCTGACAGGTGAGCCAGCCCTCATCTCCAAGTCCCTCCCTGCCGAACAAGGTGCCTTCGTGCTGTCCCCAACCATCCCTGCCTCAGAGCTTTTATCCAGGCTCTGAACTGAGCTCAAAGACACACTCTTCTCTTCCAGTGGCGGGCCTTCCTCTGCAGAGAGCACGCTGACTGGGGCCCTGATGCACTCTTCCTGGGTGCTCACTTCTTCTGTGAGTGGCCCGGGACACTGACAGTTGTTCTCGGCAATTAGGCTGGGCATGGGGACCTCACACTTGCTCACCTTTGCAGCTGACACGCCATCTCCTCCTTCTGGGTTGCTAGCAGTCAGCGGGTTCTCTTTGTGCCTGCCCAGGCCAGTGACAGCCAGCACACACTCAGCCGTGCTGGTGGAGATGATGGCAGCATCACTCAAATCCTCCATCTGCGCAACTGCGGGTCGCTCTTCATCCTGGGGGATGGCACCCCTCATGGCTGCTTCCCGTCCTTCAGAGGTGCTCGTGGAAATCATGGTGGTGTCGCTGATCTCTTCTGCAGGGGTGGCCGCAGGGTGACCTTCCTCCCGAGGGACAGCACTGGACACAGGGCCCTCACAGTCCTCCACTGAGCTTGTGGAGATGACGGCACTCCCATCTTTTTCCTCCACGGCTGTGCCAGATTGCTCGTGTCCACCTTCCCCAGCTCCCCCAGAAATGGAGGCCTCACACTCCTCCGCTATGCTGGTGGAAATGAGAGCACATTCATCCTTCTCCTCCTTGCTGGTTGAGGCAAGAGGACTTTCCACTTCGGTGGGTGCGCTGGGCATAGGCACCTCGAAGTCGTCCGTGCTGACCAAGACGGGTCCCTTGGCTCTTTCTTCAGCTGCTGCCACTGGCTGCTGGCCGCCAGCACACAGGGTGGCCGTGGCGCTGGACACGGGCACTTCGCACTCCTCCCCTATGCTAGTAGAGATCATGGCGCACTCGTCCTTCTCCTCACTTCTCACTGCGGTGAGCTGGCCCTCCTCTCCGGAAACTGCGCTGGGCATGGGGGCCTCGAATTCTTCCCTGTTCACTCTAGGGCCTTCCACATTTTCTTCAGTTCTCAGAGCGCCGGAATGACCTCCCAGGTCCCTATTGGTGCTTAACTGTGAAGTGTAATCATGTGTGGTGCTGGTGGAAATCACCAAGCCTGTGCCTTGACTTTGGCCCCCAGTAACACAAGTCTGGTGGGTAGCACCGTCACCGGCTGTGGTAGCCATGAGGCCATCGCACTCCTCATTCTCCACAGAGGTGATGACCCCCTCATCTTCTTTTTCACTCGGTGACGTGCGAGGGACTTCATATTCTGTCATGGCACCAGTCACCAGTTCCTCACAACTGCCCCCCACCAGACCAGTGGAAATCGTGGTGTCTTCAACTTTGCCTTTGCCGGGGAGCTGACCGTCGCGTTGACCTGAGGCTGCACTAGTCATGGGCCCCTCGCAACCTTCAAGCACTGGTGCTGCTGCTCCATCGTCCCTCGAAGCCGCGCTGGTCACGCTGCTTTCCACGATCCCTTTGGCACTGGAGCAGATCTCCGCATCTTTCATTTCCTTCTCAGCCCCACTCACACTGTGGACGCTGCTTTCCTGTGCACTTCCGGCAGCAGCTCCAGCCTCGGCGGGCCCGTGCCTGGCCGCGGCCCTGATGCGACGGTCTCCTCCTTCTGCACTCTCACAGACGGGCGCCTCCTCGCTTTCTTCTTCTACCCCTGTGCAAGCTGAAGCGTGCCCAATTTCGTTTCCTCTTCCAGTACTAGTCACAACGCCCTCCCCTTCATCTTCCTCCTCTTTGGCACCTGTGCTGGTGACAATGCCTTCATCATCACAGGGACCAGCAGCAACCAGAGGTACGTTAGTGACTTCTTTGGCTACTGTGCTGTTCATAGCACCCTGTCCAGTTTCTTCGGACTCAGAACTCATCGCAAAGCCTTCACTGCTCTCTTCCAAACCTGTGCAACTTGCTGGCCCCTCTGCATCTTCCTCCGTTATCCCAGTGCTTGTGACAGCACTCTCCCCCTCTGTACCGTCATTCCCAGAACCATCTCCTTCCTGGGCGGCATTCGTTCCTGGTGGCATGTTGTTTTCCACCAGGACAACAGCTGCACCTGTAACCATAGGCTCCTCCTGTGGCCCTGCACCAGTGACTGGGCACAGCACAAAGCTTCCGCCCCCCCTTTCTGCTCCTGTGCATGTCACAGTCCCCTCGGTTTCTTTTTGGGGGCCCATCCTCGTCCTACTTCTCTGGAACCTGTCTGCCTCTTCGCTGCTTAATGACTCCTCTTGCATTTCTGTCCCAGCACTTGTTACGGCTCCCTCACTTTCGCCCTCACCGGCTCCCCTGAGTCTTTCTGAGCCTCTGCTGGAAGAACCGTCACATTTTCCTTCAGAGCCAGCACTGGTCACAGCATCATCTTTCTCCTCTGTCACAGCACTATTGACACTGTCTTCAACTGGGACCGCCTGAGCAGTCACTGGGTCTGTTGCTCGCTCTTCGCATCCAGCCAGAGTACATTCCCCACTTCCTCCCACCTTGGTGCTGGTAAGGAAGGTTTCACGTTCTGCCAGGCCCTCCGTGACCATGCCCCCACCTTCCTCCGCTGCGGCAAACACAGTGCACCGCCCAGCTCCCGCCCCCGTGTGGAGAGCATTATTTCTGGAGCCCCCTGTGAGGCCTTCATCTGCTTCAATGCTTGTGCAAGGCACCACCACCTCCTCCTCTCCTCTTTCTGAAGACGTGGTCGTGGCATCCCCGGCTTTTACTGAGTTCAAGGGAAGGCCTTTGTCCTCCCCTTCTGTACTAGTGGCCAGAGAAGTCTTCTCTGCTCTGCCAATTACCACATTCTCAGTTTTTCTGTTCCTTTGGTGTGAAACAGAGGAGGCAGGGTTACCTCCAGCACTGGTGTCTACCTCACTGTTTTCCTTTCTTCTTTCAACATCAATTGATAAGTTTACTACTTCACCTGAGCCTCTACTGTGCTCAAGTTCAACAGTTTTAGCATCTTTCTCCGTGCTCATGCCCACAATGCAGTCAACAGCGATGCCATCCTTTTGGCCATTTGCTGTTGCAGTTCTAACTGTCTGCTTTGAAGTGAGTTCTCTACTTAGGTCATTTTCTTTTCTGGCCACGTCCACCGAGCCGCCTTCTTTGTTAACATTCTCATTTCCCATAATTGTATCTGTTAACTTGCTATCAAGAGGCATGCTTCCTTTCCCTTGTTTACTAAGGTTGGCCTGGGAACCTTCTGGAATGTTTTTTTTGCTAGCTAGGCTTGTTTTTACTGGCCTATCTGCTGTGGAAATTGCACCACCTTCTTTACTGTGACTTGTCCTAGGGACTTCGGATTCCTTAACAGTCACACTTTGGTTAGGGAGGTCAGAGTGGTCCCCCAGGCAGGTGCTGCCTGCGCCACCTTCTAAAACATTTCTCCTGTCAACTACAGGAATTGCATCTGCATCATGAGACTGTTTCTGAGGCACAACAGTCACCGAACTTAAAGATGGTGAGGGGTCTAAATTGGCGGAATGCTCAACAGTGTCTCCCTGAACACGCTCTTCAGCGGGTCTTGTGTGTTTCGAATTCTTTTGTGCCTTCTCATTTTCTAATGGAGCACAAGTCAACATTTTATGACTAGTTTCAGAGTCTGCATTCGATTCCTGAGTTCCTTGTGGAGTTGGTGTTTTCTCCCTGGGGTTTGGTTTGGATGCAGCACTTTGGGTATGCACTTTCTTGGTCACGGTGCTTTTATGGTCAGCGTGCTTTTCAGAATTACCAGCAACCCCTGTTCCGCGTCCTGATTTACAGGCCGGAGCGGCTGGTTTTGCCTCTGTGGTGGAAGCTCTTCCTTCATCCTTCAGAACCACGCCTGTCGTTTTCTGCTTCATCACATTTTCAGAGTCAGTGTCTTGCTGAGAACTATTACTGCTGCTCTCGTGGATTTTCGAAACTTCCAGTACATTTTCCACAGCAGGTTCAGAATCGGTTTCCATTGGCTCTTGTTCAGGGGTCAACGTGGTATCCCCACCTCTTTTTGGTCTCTGAAGGGAAGAACTACTGAGAGTGCTCGAAGTGTTTGCTGCTAATTTCTCTTCTCCTTTGGTCATTTCTTGGGATGCACTTCCTTTCCGATTTTCACAGGACCTTCTGCTTAATTTCTTTTCAGTCACTGAACCATTTCCTCTGGCCTTTTCATGATTGCTGTCAACTTCTTTACCATCCTTATCCTCTGATTTGTTATCTTCCTTCTTTTTCACATCCTTATTACTATGCTTTGAGCTTCTGCTTTTGTGCCCATCTGATACTTTTCTCTCCAGTCTAGAGGAGCTTGAATCCTTCTCACTCTTACATCTGTCCTTTGCTAACAGTAGCTTGGCTCTGTGACCAGAGTCCTTTTGGGCACTGTGGGCAGAAGGGGCTACACTCTCTAATGCAGGTTCAACACTAGCTTCCTCAGATTTGTCCTCAGCTTTAGACTTTCGTTGTCTATCTGGATCATTTTCTTCTGAGTTCTTCTCCTTATCTGGTTTCGAACTGGCTGTCTGTTTTGCGACACCCTCTTGTAATTCTGTTTCAGAGACTTTTGACTGTTTGCCTTGACTTTTTGACTTAGACCTGGACACAAGTTTCTCTTCTAACAAGCTCTTTGTTCTCCGCTTCTCCTTGTGGCAAACCTCTTCTGGTTTTGAATTAGTGTCTAAATTAGTCGAATCTGTATCACACTTATCCTCTGAATAACTTTCGCTTCTTCTCTGTAATGTTGTTCCATGTTGCTTGGAACTCAAAGAATCTTTCTGAATTTTAGAATCACTTGATCTTCTTGATTTGTGCTCTGCCTTAGTTTTGTCGGTGGAGAGGTGTCTCTCTTTTTTGTTTTCTTTACGAATATTCTCATCAGTTTTTATAATATATTCAGAAACTGGCTTTCCATCTCTGCCTAAAATTGATAACTTCCTTTCATTCCTATGTTTACTTTTTCGTTCGGCTTTATCATCCAAAGAAAGCTTAGTCTGTTGACTTGGCTTTTGAACACTTTCGTCCACTTTTAAGCCTTTCTCAGAAGAATGAAGCTCAGTCTCATCACCTGTTTTATGCGCACTGTCCCCTTTATGTTTATGTTTTGTAAACAACTTGTCTTCTGACACAATTTTTTCTTTTTCAGCCTTTTCCTTGGAAGATTTCATCTCTTTCTTAGGGAGGGTTTTCACATGCGCTGTTTCGGAGTCATCTTTCTTCAGATGCTTTTCATTTTTAAGGGTGCTTTTCTGTTTCTGGGGTTCTTTTTCCTCTGTGCCCACGTCTGAGCGTTCCATCTGCTTTTTTCCATCTCGCGCGTCAGTCTCTTCCTGTGCCCCTTCCACCACAACAGGGGTAGACGTCCGCCGTTTATGTTCTCTTTCTAGTTTGGATTCATTTTTGTTTTCATCAGCTGAATGCAAACACTCTGAGAGTCTCCGGGTAGGTTTACTTGCTTCACTCCTTGTATGAACATGTTTCAAATCCTTTGAAGAAGACAGTTTTTCCTTTTCACAATGCTGTAAGAAAACAAAGGTTAAAATATGAGACACACTAACACAATTTTTATATTCAAGTTTAACATCTGGGTTCATTTAATATGTGGAGTGCAGTCACATATTTTATACCTCACTTACTCTTTGTAAGTACAGTTGGCATTGCTGATTTCATACTGGGCACCAGGAAACTGAAGCTCAGCATGACCCAAACCTTGACACCCCGGGGAAGAGTTTAGAGGATCTCAGTCTAAGTCTAGTACTATTCCCACCACATTGCGGGCATCTTTAGAGACAAGTTCCTTAACTCTCAGTTGCTAAAGCCCACAAATGCTCAGTAGTCATGAATACATATAAAATGAAGAATGATAATCCCATGTTCTTTTCAGTCCAAAAGTATGATGAAGACAAAAAATTTATATTGAAAGAAAGGTTTCTGATATTTTAGACACCAGAAGTTTTGTTAGGGAAACCTCATGAGTTTAGGCTGCTTATTGGATGCCGCACTTGGTAAGCTTCAGATGCACTCAAGAACTCATAGTAACCACATCGTACAAAACTGGTGTGTGCGCTTAGACAACCCAGGGGAGGTTCTCAGAGATCACAGGATCTCAACTTTCACCCCTGCCCAACAGTATGGCACAGAATACAGATTATTAATGTTAATAAGCAGATGCTGACAAAACATACTTTCATAAAGACTCACTGACTACTAGCTACAATTATTCTTATATGAATAATGGGCAGAAGTTTTCAGAAAGATTTCTATGCCTCTGGGTCGGCTTACCACGGCACCTCCTTACAATTTAACTCAAAGACTAATACACTTCTACTAACATAGGGGCCAGGACAGAGCAGAATCTTTAAAAAATACTTTGAAATTAAATTCCTCAAAGAAAAAACTAAAAGGGATTTTATCAACTTAATTTTGACAATTTGGTTATTGCCAGATAGGAAACAGAGTGAGTGAGGGAATGGGAAGGAGAGAAGTAGTTACTATCTAGATAAATGATCGCATGAATCAACTTGCCAAATGAAGGATCCAGACCGTAGCACCATGGGGGTTAGTAATGAATGTGAGGAATGTTTACTGAACTTTGAAAGGATCCAACTGCATTTCTTAGTGTTACTCCGAAGGACGGAATAGCTTGCACCTAACAAAAGACCACTTAGAATGGGTTTATTAACTAGGACACACCTCGTTGGTTTTGAGGGTTTCTTTGGAATCTTCTTCAGCTTGCTGCTTCTTTTTAGAACTCTCTTCAACATTCCTACATGGGGGAAAATGTCAAACGTGAACTTTGAATAAAATGTAAGAAATTTTAAGGAAGGTTAAAAAAAGGTCAGCTTCCTTTTTCTATAAACACTTGACCCATAAATGAAGATCTGTCATATTTCAACTGAAATCCTATTCTTAGTCAACAGAGGACACAATCCCAAATGTGACACAGACTATTGTTGGAGCAGTAAGACAGTATACTTGAAACAACAGTTTCTGAATTGTTGCTTGAAATGGAATACTTTATAAAATATAATTACATTTTGAAAATCTTACTATCTTTTGAGTAAACAGGGTAGTCTTATTTATTCAGATCAATAGGAACGAGGCATGAAAAAATTGAGTGCTGACTCATATCAGCTTTGCGAAATGTTGATTCGGGTGTCTTGGAAGTTGCAATAAATTTACATGACCACATCTTCATGGCACAGCAAATTGTAGCCCATGGCTCACACGGCTTCATAGCCACTCCGTCTCTTCAGTTTTCTAATTTTTATGCGATTAACTATGATAATGGTAGTACTAAAAAAAGAATCTGGGTTAGATGTCTGGTTTATGGGGAGAAGCACAGGACACTGGTGGAGAGAGTTGCCTGGAACGACTGGAAAGTGAACAAGTGAGTGGTTACTGCATATTCAGAACGGAGACTCTTCCTGAGTCCTTCTAGAAGGCCCACAAACCCTTTGAAATTCCAGCGACAACTGTTTACACACGTGTATTTCTTTGGGGAGAAAATTCAAAGCTTCCATCACATTATCAAAAAGGACTAACACATGAAATACTGCAAATATTAGCACAATAAATTAAGATATAAAAAATGAAACTCCAAGGCCTTGAACAAGCATGCAACAACACGCGCATTCAAGGCCAGGCTCTTTCCTGGCAGTGCCTCTCTTCTGAAAGTGACTGGGAGAATGTTACAGTGACAATGCTGCCAGGTGAAATATGTACCTTGAGTCTTTTTTTCTTCTCTTGCTTAAGGCTACTTTTTTTTCTAAAACTTTCCGTTCTTTAAGGACTTCTTTAATTCTGGGGGCTTTAGGTTCCAAACTCTTTGTTGATGGTTCTTCTAAGTCCATATTATTTTTGCCTAGGAAATAAAAAAATCAATAAACTAGTTCACGACAGTTCTATAACAGTGTAATATTGATTTTTCATTAAGATGTTCTAATCACTATAAAAATGCAAAATGGCTTCAATATCTGATTGTGCTGGAATAAGAATAATATTGGAGATGAAGAAGATTTTTCTTTTTATTTAAAGTGCTTGTACCAGTTCATAATAACAACAATAATTAACAATGCAGTAATTAATAGATGAGTAATTTAAGAACTATGAATTGTTTCATGTACTACAACTGTAAACCTCTTTGCTACCCCTGCACATGTGTATTTGGGCATTACACATGGTCAGTGTCCAGAAGAAATTAAATTTTGTTCAACGAAACACTGTAGGCAAATATTCGACATTTTAACATAAAGCACAGATTAATTCCACTAACATTACCAGCACGGCTTGATTACTCATGTGTTAACAATCTATTTTCCAGTGATAATTCATTCCACAGCCACTGAAAAATAAATTGTTAATGGCTGTGTAATCTGGTACCTGAGAGAATGTTTAATTTAGACACAGCAATATAATTTTTAAAAACTGACTCCACACATCAGATTAAAAAGTAAGAAAATCTTCCACACCCGAAAATAGATAATTTTTGAAAAATATAACAGCTTTGCCCTGGCCGGGTGGCTCAGTAGGTTGGAGCATCGTCCCGTACACCAAGAGGTTGCTGGTTCGATTCCCGGTCAGGGCACATACCTAGGTTGCGGGTTCAATCCCTGGTTGGGGAGCCTATGGTAGGCAACTGATCAATGTTTCTCTCTCACATCGATGTTTCTCTTTCTCTCTCTTCCTCTTTCTCTAAAAATCAATAAACATATCCTCAGGTGAGGATTAAAAAATATACATATAATAGCTTTACTGAGATATAATTTAGACTGTTTTACTTTATAATCAAATGTCTTAAGTAATACACATTTCTGGAAACTAATGGAGCATATAAGATTGTTTAAAATATTAAAGTTAACATCTTCTATACCTTGGCTCTTAACTTTTGATGACTTTGTCTTTTCTGCTTTCTGTTTTCGTTTTTCTTCAAGTTTTTCTCTATTAATTTGCCTTCTTAAAAGCCTCTCTTCTTTTTCTTTAGCCTAAAACCACAAAATATTCACAATTAATTATGATTATCAGGCAAAAGCAGGAACATTCCGGGAACAAAAAGAGTTTCCTCTTCAAACGTTCTTACAAAATAAGAGGCTCTGCAAAAGCGCACACTCACTACATAATCCGGAAACAACCAGAATGAATGAGACGGATATGAAAATGTTCCTTTACTCTTTCAGAAGGCCGTAGTGTACAGAGTGGGAAAGGCACCGTTTTGAAAAACGGTGGCTGGTTTATGAAACTGGGCACCTCAAGCAGGACAGCCGTGAAAATGTCTGTGAGCATAAGGGGGACACAGTACATTTCCATAATGTTTGTATTATTCTGAAAGGAAAAAGTTAAAATGCAGATTCAAGTGACAGGCTAGTTCTACAACAAATGTGACTTGCTGGTTGTACTCTTGGGACCCAGGTTTTGGACATGGGACTTCGGCTGTTGGATTTTAACACCAGAGAGCATCCAGTCATGGTGTTACTCCCACTGCCCCTCTCTGGCCAGAACTCACTGTCCCAAACTGTCCCAGCCATAACCCAGATCAAGCAAAATTTTTAAGAGTTAAACCACTAGCAGCATTGCATGTATATCTTTCAAATCATTTTTCTATGTAATATTTTCTTGTTCTGAGATGCACAACTTTTCATATTTTACTGTTTCTGAAATTTTAAGTCATCTTAAACCTGATATGCACATACAATAAGGAAGCAGTGTTTTTCTGCTAGAAAGCTGTTGTTAATCCAATGACACGTTACAATTCAAAGTGTTTCCAAACCCAGTAAGTATGTGGATTGCACTTCCTTCTAGATATTAAGTTCACAGCTTTATACCGTAAACTCTACTCGTACTTGATTAGAGCTTTCCATGCCTTGAATCACGCAGGTTGTTACCGGTTTTTCACTATTGATCATCATGAGACGAATGCTCCTGCCACACGTTCACGTCTGTTCTGCTCAGTCAAACGACAAGGTTCCCGGAGGCACAACCCACATGCCGCTGTTTCGTATGCGCACCAGCAGGACCCTGCACTTGGACTAGACAAGGTTGGCAGCCTGATCTAAGGCGCGAAGGTAATAACAGATCAAGTGTGACTTACGATCGACTGCCGCCGTTGCTCTACAGTGAGTTCATCATCAGAATCACTGTAATACTTTGAGTAAAGGTATGGCTTGTGAACGTAAGCTTGCCGTCCGCTTTTTGCTTTTCCTTCACTGGGGTCACAGGTTTGAGTTTTTGCTTTATTCTGTTTGTTCTTCTCTTCATCTGGAAGAAAGTCAAAAGAAAGAGGAATGTGAACTCGCAATAAAATCGACATTACGCTTGATCACCATCTAGCAGCAAGAGCAGTATCAACGTAGCTCAAGTGCATTCACATGGTGAAATGTCACAATGTGAAAACTCAGAAATTTAGACATTTTTAAAGGTCAGAATCCATATCTCAATTTACTTCTTAACAATCAGCTTCTTACACATATAGCAAGACAGTAAAGAAAAACTAAACCTTGTGGTTATTTATGTTTTCTTGACAAAATTAACTCTTGACAAAGAGTTAATTCTCATTTGTATGTCAGTGGACTGGACATGACTGCTTTACCCCTGTCAAACTGAACCAATGCACTTGACATTGCACCTTAGGGTAAACTGGAGGTTTTTACAACTACCTGTGAGTCTCTATTTATGGAAGAGGCAACAATTAATAAATGGACCCATGCCACGAAATGCTAAAACCTCTCCACCTTAGGGAGGCAGACTGCCTTCCCTATGACACAACAAGAAAACGGAAACAAGGTGTTCATTTCCTACCACTTGGTACTCTCAGAATAGCTATCTTCTTACCTTTTGGATTCCACACCTATAAAATCTAGCTCTGCCCAGTAAAACTTGGAAAGACCTGCAAAAGCATCTAGAATTAAATTTTTAGTTAGGCTAGAAATAGAACTGTAGTACTATAAGCTTCTATTTTTTCTCTCTAGGTATTCTATCAGAAAGCCAGTATCAAATTTATGAGATGCTATCTATAGGCAACTGCAAATAATACACAATCTTACTGATTTTTTAAAGTCATAAAGAATTAAATCACATGGTAAAGAGCAGCATATGGTGTTGGTTAGAAGTCCAGACTCGGGTCTGAAATTGCTACTGGTGCTCACTAGCTACATGAGTCTAGACAAGAAGACATCTCCCCTTGATGACTTTATTTCTTCACCTGGACCTATTTCTCCGGGTTGTGGGAATTATAGGGATTGGTACGCAGAAAACTTAGCATGGCCTAAGATATAGTACTCAATAAGGATTAATTGAAAAACAAAATGTATAGTAAAGAGAAGTCCAGTTTTTGCCCTTGGCTTCTAGGAGGTCCAGTTTTGCCCTCTCCAGAGGCTTTTGCCCTAAGCCTCTGGAGTCCCAGGCCTGACTTCAGAGTGCTTTTGTTCACTTAGAGGTCTTGTGCTAAGCCAAATTGTCTAAGAGCATAATTCAGGATGCGAGCTTTGGGTCCTGGAGTATCAGCTTGACCTCTAGAGGGGCTGGAGACTGAGACCAGTTGCCTGGGCAGTCAACTGCGACTCCATGGTGGAGCCCAAAGAGAAACTCTGGAAATGAAGGGTCAGGTGAGCTTCCCTGGGTGGTAGTAACCACATGCACTGTCGAACAGCAATGCTGGGAGAGGGACACTCCCCACACCTCCACAGGGACGGCTGGAGGCTTCATGTCGGGAGCCTTCCTGGACTCTGGCCAATGCGCTTCTTCCCCTGGTTGATTGTAATCAGTGCCCCTTAGTGGTAATAAGCTGGTAACTGAGAGTTTAACAGATTTCAGTGAGCACTGGGAGTCTTTTTAACAAATGGTCAAACCTAAGGTTAGTCTTGGGAACCCCAATCTTGCAACTGATGTCAGAAGTGAGGGGAGCTTGTGCACAGGACTCACTCTCACACCTTCATGTGCATTATCTCATCTAAATGGAATGACAGTCGTAGGGAATGGAGATGAGAGATGCAGAACCGAGACTGGCTGAGGTTTAGTTTAGTAACTCACCAAGCTTGCTCAGACAGAAAGCCTTGGAGCTGGGACTCAGAAACAAATCTTCCAACTACAAAGTCCCAAGCTCTTGCCACTAGACCACACTGTCTTGCACGACAGCCACCTGAATATACAAATAACGCTCGACGGGAAGCTTCACAGAGGCGGTACTGAGTAAAATGCTTTACCATCTGACGTGATCTCTCCCTCTTCCATGCTATCGGACAGCACAACCTCTTCCTCAGTGTCTTCTTCAAAAGATGAGAGGTCACTGGTGTGGACAGAGCTAACTGTAATGTCCGTGAGTCCATCCACATCAGAATCTATCACAGAGCAATCTTCAAGAGAATGATACAGAAGATAAATCATCTTGTTACAAGAACATACTCAGTACCCAATTCCCAAATTACGTTTGAAATTCTCTGCTTTAAATACATTTCAAAGAACTTCAATTTTAGCAATAAAAATTTCTCATTAGCAATGAATATCAAATAAGGTAGAATTATTTCCAGAAAATATAAACTATTATCCAGTAAAAATGAAAGTATTAATTTATGATGTAAATGACAGAAACAAAAGCAAACTTTAAGTAGCTAATATATATATTTACTGATAATATTTAAAAGATTAGGACCTACAAGTATGAATGAAGTTCCTTGAAATAATGTATGGCAACATATTATATCAGTTAAATTATAAGATCCAGAGCTTCTCTGTTCATTTACTTTGTGAATTTGAGTATAGGAAACAAATACACAAATGTGTATTGCCCCTTTTTTTTTTTAGCAAAGCAGATATAAGTTCTCAGGCTTTTGAAATGTAAGAATCAAATTTACTAAAATTTGAAGGCAAATTTGATACATCCCAATGGACACACTTTGTTCTTTAAACAGTTGTAGACTTTTGCAAGATTTTACCTTCTCTTGTCCCTTCACTGGTTTTAGCTTTACTTCCGTTCTTTTCTGAGGGCGCTTTCGTACACTCTGCTTCTTTATCCTTTGCTTGTTTTTCATCTTTGACTTTTTGTGTATCTTCATTCCTTTTTGAGTGATCAAATTTCTTTTCACTCTTTTCCTTCTTTTCTTTCTTCCTTTCTCCTTTTTCACTGCTGTCTGGTTTCTTTTCACCTTTGTCTGATTTATTTTTTTGGTCACTGCTTTCCTGTTGAACATCTTTACTTAGCAGAACGGAACTGCTACTCTCTTTTGTGTGATTTTTAATTTCTTCTGCTGGGCAAGGGAGCTCGCTAACTTCCTCAGACTTCGGGGCTGTTTCCTGTACTTCCCCCGCGGGGTCGGGCGAAGACTTGTCTTTATCAGCCATGTCCTCTGGAGCTTTCTCTTTCTCAGTGCTGGTGTCGGTGCTTGGCTGAGACGGGAGTTTTTTGGATGTTCTCTCACTGGTCTTAGCGTTTGATGCTTCTGTTGAAGCCCTGGCAGCAGTAGCTTCTTGGTTAAGAGAAGTTATGGTCTCTAAGATTGACATGGCATCATTGGCTACATTAGTACTGGGCCCAGGAGCAGGGACACCTTTAAGAGAGACACAAGTTTCAGAGTAAATAGATGCAGAAGGCTCACCTAGCAGAGTCAATGATACAGGCCACTGTCATCTTTATGATGCACACATGGAGCAGACCCTTCACACACCTTTACACTTTCATGTACCAGTGCTGGTGCTCAGCACACCAATTCTCTCCTTCCTAATACAGTTGTCTCAGAGAGGCACCGTGGAAACCTGCGAAGAGTCTAGTTTCCAGGAAAATAATAGCTTCTCTAATTATTCTCACTGTTGAAACATACATACATTCCCAATAATGCATCTTTAAAATACAGATTATTTTGTATTAAGGAAAATAAAGGTTATGCCTTATGCCAGTTGAGGAATTTGGGTGCTATACAATTTCACTACCGTGGCTGAGTAGAGAAACATTTTAAAAACCAAATTTCCTCAACTTGATACTCAGTTCAGGAAAAAAAGCACTGGAGCTGACCAAGAGCAAAAGCAAAGCACCTTGTGTAACGATGGAAGAGTCTGGCTTCTCCTCTTCGGGGGCCGAGCTGCCACCGGATTCCTCTTTGTGATTTAGCGTGGCCAAAAACTCATGCACAGCTTTCTCCACCTGAGGTCTGAACGTGTGGTTGATCTTTGGATCTACAACCTGAGAAATAATTCGGTCGATACCAGACTCCAACATTCCTGATCTGAAACACAGGATAATTTACAGAAAGGTTAAAATATACACATATAATTTCATATTATTTGCATCATTTTTAGGTATAACTGTATCTCTCCAACCTTTAATTTTCCCAATCCGTTCAGGGGTAGGGAAAGAATAGGCAATGGACAATAAGTTTCACACTACAGATGCATTTTGATACACCATACCACAAACAGTCTCTAGACTTTTCACCACTGTGTCAACAAAAATGAAACAAAACGAAACAAAACAAAACGAAATGAAACGAAACAAAATGAAACACCCTTAGGCTCTGACTGGTATGGTTCAGTTGGTTGGGCGCCATCCTGAGAACGAGAACGGAAAGGCTGAGTGTGATTCCTGGCTGGGGCACGTGCCTAAGTTGCAGGTTTGGTCTCTAGCTGGCATGCATGTGAGAGGCAACTGATCAATGTTTCTCTCCCAACCTTCCCTTCTCTCTAAAAAGAAATTAGTAAAATCTTAAAAAAAACAAACAAACAAAAACAAGCCACCCTGAGAACTGAACAAGACCACTACTTACAGCCCAGGCTTACGGACGATGCTGTCTTACCATGATCCTGCTCATGGCACAGAAAAATAAATCATCATTAAAGCTGAGTTCTGGCTACAGAATAAATCAATGGACTTTGCACCTTTATTTTGAAACAAAAATGTAAGCCTTTCATAAGTATTAAAGAGTCTCCAGGAAAAATGAAGAATATAATTTTATCAAACTAAAAAAAAAGGGAAAAACTTTAGAACAAAAATAAAACAAGATTTCTTTTTTCTTCTTGCCATTAAAAACACTAGAGGATTTATCCATTTAACCATCATGTCACGAGTGTCTTGTACTTTAAGAGGAATGTGCTCGGCCACCAGCTGCCGTTCCTCAGACCTGGTCCCCCCTCTAGTGAGGAGACCGGCACAAACAATGGAAAGAGAAGATGACGGGCAGGAGGACAGCCCTGTACTGCAGGAAAGGAGTAGACTGAGGAAGGAGGAGACAGCTCTGAGACAATGAGGAACGCTCCACAAAGGAGGTAACACCTGAGCTGAGTCCTGATTTCCACAGAAGAGAAGAAAGAGCTTAAAGAAATATCACAAACAAGAGACAGAGCAGCAGTAGGGCAACTACATCCCAAGTGCGCAGAAAATCACAAGGGTGTTAAGAGACACATGTTAACCTTGTTTCTTCCTAAAAAAAGCGCTTGAGAAGTTCCCTGGGTCATGTTAGAAGAACAGGCGCTGGTCCTTCCCAGCTTCTAGGGCTCAGGCTATCCGCAAAATGGGCACAGAGTCTCTTCTTACAATGTAAATGCTCTTTTTGAGTGCAGCTCTGGCTGAAGTGGAGGATGAATTTGACTTTCATTTCCTGAGGCACCTTGCAGCCTTGTTATACTAGAATGCTACTTATGTGGGCCATAGAGAAAAATGAGTCAATTCTCCACAAAGTAGGTAACCTGATTTTTAAAGTTCTAAGATTAAGGGAAAAAAACAACCCTGCAAATCCTGCAAACACTGCTACATCTTAGAGGTGTCTTTCAAATCTAGCGGGTGGGAAAGAAACAAGGACGAACAACCTGAAAAATGTTGTCAGGCACAAGTATAAAGGCACAAAATAAAAAATAAAACCCACCCATCCAGAATCGCTGCTTCAGTCCTCTCTCACAGTGGCCTGATCAGTGGCCGGCTCCAGTGGCCCCACTGCTCTCAGCAGGCTCACTGCAGATGGCTGCCTACTAGAGAGTAGCCGCACTCGAGGTTCAAGGTCAAGGCCAAAATGCTAGCAGCCAGCACTATTCTGGTTAAAGTTATTTCCTTGTCTTCCTTTTAAATCTTGTTCAGTTTATACAATTATTTCTGAGCTATTTAGCATTTTTAGATTTTGTTGTACAAAATGATTGCATAGATAAAGTAAGATTTTCCCTGTATTGAGCCTGGGGATTAGCTATTAGGTTGAACCACCCAGAATTGCTGATATTAGATTGTTTTTATCCTATAAGAAAGGCAACTGTAGAAGGTTCAACATAACAGATTCAACTGAGTGTTTCTCAAAGTACATGCATGAAAAACTGCTTGAGATTGTATTTATCAAGGCCAATACGTCCCTATACCCCTGGTCTGACACAACTAAATCGTCTCTTTAAGGGAACTTTAAAATGTTATTGTCAGTAACAGAAAACATGAATAATAGAATTTAAATAAGGGAATAGTTCATTAAAAGTAAGTAACGCAGCTAGACGGAAATGTACATGCGTCCCAGAAAGAGAGCCGGCGGGCCCCTCCCACAGACAACTGCACGTCCTCCCCGCCTGCCCGCCGTCGCCCACGGCAGAGCCCTCCAGGGCAACTCTTGGAGGACAGTCACGAGGACCCTTTACCGAGTGGCCCTCGGCCCCTCACCAGGCTTGCTTTTACACCGGCAAGGCTGAGCTGAGCTGAGCTTCTGTAAAATAACAGAATGAAGGGCTGCTTCCCTCCTTTACAGTTTCGTGTGCTGAGGAGGAAATGCAATTACGGGAGACTGGCCTTCCACTTGGTCTTTCCGCCCAAAGAAAAAGAGGATGCCAACATGTTGTTAAAGCAATGCCGTCCTCTGTGAAAGGGAGGCAGCCATGTGAGTTGTTCAGTGGGAGCACTCAGTGATTAGCAAGGCACAAGTGTGCAGGCGGCAGTTCCCCGCCCCCCATCTTAGTTATTGTTCCCCTAAATTCCTGGAAGTGAGTAAATTTCCAAGCCTGTCAACCCCAGGGCCCCCTTCAGCCTCTTTTCCAGGCAAGGCCTTGACTTCCCCACAGGTGCTGTCACGCAGCCCTCTGAAGGCACCTTCTGATCTCACCTGGACCCTATACAGGTTCCTCTGACATCCTTTAAAGTGCAGACAACAAACTTACTGCTAAGTGTCCCTCTTCTCCTCTTCACAAGGAGATAGTCGGAGCCCCTAGGCTCCCGGTTTCTAGTATTACCTGTGGCTAAATGGGTCTCTGAGTTGGAGTGGAAGCTGTGTTTGTGGGGCTTCCTGGGGGCCAGGACGCTCACTGCGGAAGCTCGCTAGGCGGGCCTGGAGGGTTCCCAAGGGACACGAGGGAGTTGAGAGGTGGCAGGTGTACCACAGACACGCTGACCTGTTTTACAGCAAGACCGCTCTCTAAAAGATGGGCCCGAAGGCGCGCATTTGTCAAGGCAGGAGGAGCAGCTCCTCCTCAGAGAACTTCACCGTCTTCCTTGGGGGCTGAAGCAGGGGCAGACGGTTTGAGTTCTCTTGTCTTGTCTTGTCTTGTTTCTTGTATTTAAGAACAAGGTAATATTGTAAATGTCTTGGGAATAAGTATGACTTTTGGGTCCCTGTAAACATTTCAGCTCTTCTCATTCTCTTTATCTTATATTCATCGAAAAAAAAAAAAAGTCCGAATGCACTTTCTTTTTTCAATATCATCACTAAAAAGGAGAATTAAACTCACAATAAAATGCAAGAGACAAAATTGCGGGGGTCAGGCTGCACTTAAGAATAGAAGACACGCCCTGGCTGGCGTAGCTCAGTGGATTGAGCGCGGGCCTGCGAACCAGAGTATCGCGGTTCGATTCCCAGTCAGGGCACATGCCTGGGTTGCAGGCCAGTTCCCGGCAGGGGACACATGAGAGGCAACCACACACTGATGTTTCTCTCCCTCTCTTTCTCCTTCCCTTCCCCTCTCTCGAAAAATAAATAAAGAAAATATTAAAAAAAAAAAAAAGAATAGAAGACACAGTGTCAAAAATCAGGAAAAATATTTTCATTTCAGTGATCTTTAATGTTTTTTATTTGCAAACTAATTATAAAGCCTACTATTTTAGGACCCAAAATGGTTGTGAATGTAAACTGTAGGGGATATTCTGACATTTACTATCTATTAGTATTATATCTAGGATTTAAAAAAAATACATTGTCCTTCCCTTTCTTCAATGTTTCCAAAGGGCTATAGAAAAATCAGACTGCTAAAATTTATTGGAGAAATGTGAAGTGATTAAAGCCTTTATAAAAAAATCACACTGCATCATAATATGAGGGAGCCAAACTTCACAACATGAGCACGAGGTGAACAAACTTCTGTACAATGTTTCTGCTTTCAGGCCAAACAGGCTGCACATTTCCAGGCCTGCCTAGGAACTCGGTAATTCTGAGACTTACTTGAGTACTTGTTGTCTAATATTGTTTCTTAGCTGGTTCTTATTGAGGTGGGGACTCCATGTATGAGTTGCTAAGTGGTTCGCAACAAAGTTGTCAACGCGTTGTCTCAGATTCTGATAAGCAGGCTAGAAAAGAAAAAAGGACACAGAAGCTGAAAATCTCTAATATTATACAAACAATACTGACAGTTTTAGGATTTGAGTTTCTTTAACAGTATCAACATTTCTTAGATTAGAATATCAATATGGCAACAAAGTTTTACAGTTTATGTTTGAAGATAGGAGAAGTACAAAGAAGAAAGACCTGCTTGTCATTGTAGACAAGGAAGGGAGAAGAAAATAAGGCACCAATAAATGTTACTGCAAAAATTTGGAGCAAAGAAAGGAAGAGGGGGAAGAGAAGCAAGCCTTTACTGAGAATGTAGCACATGAGCTGAACCTTCAAGGTTTCGAAATGCAGCTGGGGATTCTAAGACCGCCCCAAAGGAATAGCCAACTATTTAAGCAAATAGCAAGTGGATGAGAAAACATGGGGTTGGGAGCAACTGAGCTGCACTCCCCTCACCCAGACTCCTCGGGCAATTGTTAAGTCCAATTGTTCATTTGGAGAAGGGAATACCAAAAAGCAGAGAAGTGAGACTGGAGACATAGCCTGGGGCCAGAGCCTGGACTTGGGTAACGTATAAGAAGTTTGGAATTATGGGATAGAGAATGATAAGTCAGTGCACATATGAGCAGAGTGATATATGTGATGGCTGGGCTTTCTGATGATTAATTTCTTAAAGTGAAAGAGTAAAGCGACACAAAATACACCTCACACAGTGTGTAACAGAGTGATGAAGGTGCATACTAGGGTGGCGGAAATGGGCTGAAAGACACAGATCCCAGAGAAGTTATGGAGGGACAGCCACTGGAACTAAGCATTACACTTGATGTCAGGCAGTGGCTCTCAACCTGAGTGACTACCCCCTACTCGCCCCCCGGGGACATACGGCAATGTCTAAAGACAAATGAGGGGGGCTGCTACTGGCATCTAGTGAGTAGAAGGCAGGGATACTGCTGAACATTCATTCTATAATGCACAGGGGAATGCCCTACAACAAAAACCCACCCAGATCAAAATGTCAACACTGCTGAGGCTGACAACCCCTGAAGTAAGTAAGGGAAGCAGGGCAGAGGACACATATTATGTCATCTCTTCTTAAAAGGCCACTGCCTGGAAGGAATGTCTGGCCCTCAGGCAGGACAGCACACTCTGTTCCTAACTATCTCCCACCACTCACATTCTTCAGATCCTTCTTTTAAGTGGCTTTGGTGCAGATGGACTTGTGTGTCTCCAAATGATTTTACACAAAACTATACAGCCTCGTCCTCTGCCATTTGCTCCCTTACCCTCCAGCGGTAAGCTCTCATGCCTTTGTTCTTCTGCAACTGCCATTCCCTCTCCTTGTCCATCTGGCAAACTTCTCACCTGCAGAGCTCGCCCTAATCCACGGTCTTCGTTTTCTATATGTAGTTCTTGCAGTGCACTGTGGTTTGGGAAGGTGCATATTTACCTCCCCACTGAACTGTAAGCCTGCTCCTTCCACTCTCTTGATCTTTGTTTTTAGGAACCTTATCACACTGCTTGGCAGACAAGCAATTAAAGCGCAGGTATTAGATGAGATGACTGGGGAACCATCTCTGGAAGGGATGATGGTGATGTTCTTGTATCCCTTCCAGTTTCCAAACTTTTGCTAATTCCTATTCTCAGTCCTACAAGCAACAGTCTCATGATCCTTCATCATGTTCCTCTCCATTTATCCCAAATCAATATGAACTAAAAAACTAATCTAATCCTTTCTCTTGATGATTTTCAGCAAACCGTAAAACATAATTCTTGCCAGTATTTCCAAATCTCAGAAATATTAAGCTAAAAACATCACAATGCACTTAGCACTCTAGCTGTCCTGTGACAAGCTCAAATTTGAACAACAACAGGTAATTTTCCTTGTTTTCAGTTTTCCTCTCATTAAGAAGCCTGGTGACTCAAGACAGAAGGATTCCACTGTTCTTCTGGAATTTTTCTCTCTCTCTTCCTCCTTTCCCAGTGCTCAGGTCAAAAGCCCTGGAGTCATTCTTGACTCCTCCCTCCCCTTCCACCCAGATTCAAGCCATTGGCGAATTCTGCCAGCACTAGCATCACAATGCCTCTGCAAGCTGACCACTTCCCATTACCAGTCTGGTCCAGTGCATTCCCTTCTCCTGTCTAGGTCACAGCACTGCATCTTCCTGTGTCTACCTTTGCCCACCTGGAGCTTATTTTCTATACGGCAGCTACTGCAAATCTTTTAAAATTAGGGCAACCACATAATTTATTGTCCAAAGCAGATTACGACCGAGTGTGAAGGGGACACACGGCCAACACATCTAAAACGGAAGACAGAGCATGTCCTTGTTAGCCCCAGCACTTGCCAAAGGCTTCTCAGCTTAGGTGAAGGCAAACTCTTACAAAGGCCTCCAAGGCCAGGCAGGGCTGTGAAGGGAGGGAGGGGCACTCCTATCACACCCGCTGTCACTTTGTCCTCAGCAGTTTCTGCCTAAGGCTTTCCCTGCAGGCAGTGACCTCCACCTGGGATACTCAACCCCAGAGAACTGCAGGGCCCTCAGCTCCTTCAGTGATGGCTCAAATGGCACCTTATTAGAAAGCTTCCCTGAATTTACTCAAAACAAATCAGTCCTTTCCAGACCCATCCCCTTTCATTTCTTCCATAGGCCCTATCACACATTATTTATTGTCTGTTTTTCTCCGCTGGGATTAAGTTCCAAAACAGCAGGGACTCTTTGTTCACTGCTGTATCTCTGATGTCTAAAACTGTGTCTGGTACACTGTATTTGTTGGGTAAATAAATGCATACAGTTTTGTCTTTGTTCTAATACAAAATCTAATTTCCTTTCAAATCTAAGGGGGAAAAAAGGGGACAATAATAATCAGTGACCAGGAGTCATTTACACCTAAGAATGTATCAAAAAACTGGCCTTTGTTACCTGGGGGAGAGGGGCCATGTTTACTTGTTTGGTGAGCTCCCTTCCTGGAGAAGAAGGATGGACCACTGAACATTCCCTCCTCACTCTCTCCAGTCGCTAATCAGCACACAGGGGTCAGAACAGTTTTGTAACTTCTTAGTTTACTCCACAGATCTGGGAACTGGGGGGTCTGGAGCAGCAGAGCCTCAGCATTAGTTGGATCCTGGGGCTGTCCCAGGTTCTAGTTCTTTGGGTGGGAGGGCTGGTTCAGTCTACAATCCTCAGATCTCTTTTGGCTGGACCAGCAATGACCCCAGAGCAGTCTGAGGGGTTCTGTGGTCTTCTGGAGTTGCAGTGGACTTTGGAACTTCTCATCTTGCTTTCGATACACGCAGATGGATGACAGTGTTACTCTTGGAGAACATCAGGTAGGTATCAAATGTCTTGATTCTTAACTGTGCATGTGACTGACAATGCAGCTACTGCCACAACCCTCTGTACTGTACACTACCGGTCACAGTTTGGCGAAGTTGGTCTTCAGGGTTCAGTGATCAAAAGCTCTACAACAGGAATGGTCTAAAGTCTAAGGTGTTCTTAACAGATGAGACCCAAGGATTCCATTAAAGCGACACTCTTCGCGTGAATAGGGAATCTTATACCTACTTTGGCCCACTAGCCACACTGATAGGAACGTCAAAGTTTTCTTTTCTCACATAAAAGAAAACTTTGGTTTTTGTATGTTTTTGAGACTTTCAAACTTACTATTTTTTGTGAGAGAGAGAGGCAGAACACAACACCAAACTCAGCTGGGAATGGGTTTGATTTCAGTTCTTCTCTTTTCTAGCTTTGAACGTTAAAACAGGGGACCTTATTCTGTAGTCCCTGAACACTCTCTGAAACTACATAGTAGGCTGAGCTACAGACACTGCCAAATAGCCAATCATTTCTAAACTGTAAAAACAGCATTCTAATACATATGTGTGCGTTTTTATTGGGAGAAGGCCTAGATTTCTTTACACTGTCTAAGAAATTGTTCTTTTCTCCTTCTCCCCAAGAAAGGTTGTAGAGCCTCACTTCCAGACGATCTGGCAGAAATATCAGACATAGAGCAGTAACATTTAGTAGGGACAGAGTGAAGAAAAACCTGAACTTTACATATGGTATCCCCATCAGTACACTGAAATTTTCAATTTGCATACACAAGAACAGATCTGTAGGTTTCTGAGGAAAGCAAAGTGAAGTCTCTACGTGCAGGGTACAAACAACCAGCTTTATCTGGGTAATATTTATCTAGCTATATCTATCTAACTTTCTCCCATTAAAAAAAAAAAGAAGGCAATAGGCATTATGTTTAAAAAAGGTGGCTGTGCATATTCCCTAAAACAAATAGAGAAAACCTTTTACTTCCTGCAGAGATAAACATTACAAGTAAATTGAATTCTCTGTGGTGCAAAAACTCCAATGCCCTGAAAAGGCACACTGTACTCTGGTCTACACAGTGGGCCAGGGTTCTCATAAGGAAAGATGTTCCTAGATTTTGACCAAGGTTTTCCCAGAGGAGACAGCAGGACTGCACACAGTTCACTCCCCTGAGGCCAGTGAACACAAAGTCGCAGGGAAGAATTGGTGGACTTTGCAAACACTTTCTCAAAGAAATGAGTCTCCTCAGAAACACTGAACAGGTTATGAGAGAACTCTCACCCCATCAGAACTATCCAATGGACCCAACCAGATCTTGGCCAAAAGTAATCAACCAAGCAACCTCCCCTGGCCCAACTGCCTCAAACCAACCGAACCAAAGAACAACAAAAACAAACAAACACCAAACCCCCCCAACACCCCCAATTTTACAATTATTCCCAACTGAGGCTTCCTGCTTCACTTGCTTCCAGAATTCCAGACTCTATTGGCTTTCCATCCATCTCACCAAGACTGCTCCTTCTTGGTGTCCTCTGCTCATTCTTTGCCTAACCAGGTATGACTACCTGGTTCCTTCACTTTGACACTTGGTACTAACGCCCTCCCCCTTTGCAGACCTTTCCCCTCTCCTCCTTACTCTCTCAAACTGAACTCTTGTCTCCTGACCCTCTTCCACTTTATTATCTGCTATCACTTGCTCTCCATCCTTCCTCCACTTAATAATGGATGGCTCGGTTCTCCCCCACCCCGTCCCCTCTCCTCCCCCCGAACCCATTTTCACTTTGGAGAAGTGACTTGGCCTAAGTTACCTAAATCAAACGGTCACTAGTAGAGGCTGAAGTCCCGATCCCCCTAACCTACCTTTTCGCTGTCCAGCTCTACCTTCTTACCTTTGCACCCCCCAACCCTCATCCAGTAATGCGTACGACAAATAACTCGGTTCGATGATCACTCAACTTCTCCAGAGGACAAGGATATGACAGTTCCCGCCCAGAAATCTTTTAAGAGAGGTGCATGGATACAAAGTAAACCGCGAAAAAAAATTAACCAGAGATGAAAGCAGAGGTTAGTGTTTCCAAACGTATCTGCACAGGAACAATAACGGAGTCTTGCTCGCGGGTAAACTCCGAGCGCCTAAGCAGCATAGTAGGTGCTCAGCACCCACCAGGAGGCACCGGCAGGGGAATGAATGAACGAACCGCGCCGTGCACGGTGCCTGGCAAGGAGCGGCAGGTCGAGGAGGACGCGGCTGCACGGGAACTAGCGGAGCGGCGCTCAGAGGGGCCCCGGCTGGGGAAGCAGAGGCGCAGCCCTTCCACGAACGCGGGAGAACGCGCGAGAAGGCAGCCCTGGGGTCCTCCCCCGGCCCCGCACACCAGCGCGCCCCGAACCTTAGTGTCCACGTCGGCCAGGCAGTCCCTGCGGAACTGGTCGAAGAGCCCCTGGCTCTTGAGGTGGTTCACGATCATGGCCACGAGTTGCGGGTCCCCCGCGCCGGCCCCTGCGCCGCCCGTCCCGCCCGCGCCGGGGCCAGACCCAGGGCCGGGCGGCGGCGGCGGGGGCTGAGGCTGAGGCGGGGGAGGCGGCGGCGCGGGAGGCGGAGGCTGCGGCTGCGGGTTGGTGGCCATGGCGGCCTGGGCCGGCGAGGGCGCGAGCCCGGGCGAGCGGGCGCTCCTGGGAGGCGGCGGCTGCACCAGTCCCGCCACCTGAAGGAGGCAACTGGATGTTGTCACGGAACCAGCGGATCCCGAGCAACCCCGGAAGTGAAAGGGAACCAGGGGAAAAAGAGGAAAAGGCGGTGACAAAAGCAGTGAGGGACCAACGACGGGATCCGCCGGGGGCCAGTTCCGGTCGCCCTCCGCGCACGCGCGCTCGGGGCGCTCGGCTGCGTCCGCGGGGGCGGCGGGAGCGCGCAGCGGAGCAGACCGGGCGGGCGCGGGGCTGGAACCCACTGTGGGTCAGCGTTGGACCCGCGCGACTCCCAGGGGCCGAGGGCCCACTGGGATCCTGTTCGGAACGGGCCTGCGCAGGGATGCGAGACGTTGACCCGGTGCTGTCGTTGGCGTTTAGGCCTGACGCTCTGGCTCCTATTTCACGAATCAGACAAGATCCACCGCTTATTCTAAACAATAACCAAACCTTCGTTCTCATGATCCAGCCCAGTTTTCCTGCAAGGAGGTAGCTCCAGGGTCCTCCTTGTCCCCACCCCATCCCTTTTTCCTCGGGCCCACCCCTATGCCTGCCGGCTAGGACCGGTCCCTCCAGCGCCGTTTTCCTGCTCATGAAGACGAATCCACGGGCTGTTAATTTTAAGGGTTTTGCTTTTGATTCTTATAATCATAGCAGGTTACGCTTGCATAGCATGCACTGTGTGCCAGGCTTGGCGTCAAGAGCGTCTATTGCATTAACTTGTTCAGTCTTTGCAACAACACTACTCTGGGTCCTACCACATCCCTCAATTCTCAAAGCGGGAAACAGGCCCAGAGCGATGAGCTAAATTGCTGAAAGTTAAAGAGAAAGCAAATCGTCTGATTTTGGACTGTTGTCTGTAAAATATTAGTACACGAACAAAGCAAAATAAATTACCGATTTGCATAACTATTCAGTACAATGTAAAAGTTATTGGAAAATGTAGCTCGATGAAAGAAATGGCTATCATTGCTTTTTAAAATTCCTACGTCTGCGGATGAATATGTCATTGCTATAGAACCCTGGGTTGCACATCGGTTTGTTCCTATTTCTAGTTTGTATAGCTGTACGCTCTCAGAAGCCCTGTTCATACTAAACAAGTACTGTACCTGGGGACAGCGTTTTATTGTTGCGACGCCACTTGATTCGTCATCTCAGAAAATAAGATTTGATGATCTGTGAGGCGACTATTCCATTAGGCCCTCCGATTTTATTGAAAGTAAAGAATCGAACACCACTCAACTTGCCGAAGGATTTGTTTACCTAGTTGTTATTCCTTTGGGGATCTTTTTTTCCCCCCCCAGTTTCTAGGAAATATACCAAATAGGTTTTACCAAGACATCAAATGACTTTGAAGTAGACCTATTTTCCCCTCAATTAGATGTACCATGTTTAACCCGATATACTCAAATTTGGGGGAAAAAATCTAACCATTTTTCATTCTCATGAAGTTTTGGATCAAATGCTTTTTATTGTTGTTGGGTGGTTCAATTTTGTTTTTGCCAAAACTTTGCAGCTTATGATGCGGCTCATTCAAGGTGAAACTGTCAAGTATGAGAAATGTTTATCATAGAACCTAATTCACAGAGCCCGTTTTCATCCTCAAACTAGCCAAATTGGATTTACTTTCCCTCAGAAGCAGTTTGACTTAATTGCTTCAATTCCAATAAAGCGTCATGCATTTTGAGGAATATAATGAAGACTGCAGAGAGACAGTCATGAAATGAATCTTAAAAGATTTATTATTGTACTAAAAGCAATCAAGATGAAAATGGTGTAAGGTATAATTATTTTATCCATTTTCAAAATTAGTTATGAAAACGATGAAAATATGACATGTTGCTCCCTTTACCTAATTACCAACGATGCAATCTATATTGCTAAATATATGTTGTAATAAGTATGTAGTGTAGTAAAAGATATGGTATTTTTTCCATGTATATAGACATACCAGATTTATTTGGACTTGGGGTATAACTAAGTAAGAATTATCCATAAAAATTCAGTAAAATTCCTCAGATTTAATTAATCATAATGATCAAACTTAAAAAATGAAAAATAAGGTATTTGCTCCTAAAAATGTATTGGTTCAGTGACTAGAAAAATAATTTTATGTTCATGAACAGCATATAGAAGAATCTTAAGTATTTTCTAAATGTAATGTGAGAATTGATTATAACAAATAAATCCCAATCGATTTTATAAAATGTATGTTAACAGCATTATGGAAGAACACATACTGAACACATAAAGAAATAATGTAATATTTTTGTCTATGAGTTCAAGGTACACACATACTGGATATAGTACAGTTTGAACAATTTTGTAGCCTTAGAAAACATTCTAGTTACCTTGAGGGAAACTGGGCAACAGATGCCTCATCTTGTCCCCAGCCCAGCCGGCTGTGGGCAGCCCCCACCCCTGCCCGGTCCAAACCCTGCTTCCTGGGGATAATCCAGTGACAGTCACACGGAGGTTGACAATGCAGTCATCTCCTAACCCCAGGGAGCCCACCTGCTTATTTGGCTGTTGTTTCCTTTCCCTCGCTTCCCCAGGGCATCCTCACCCCACATCGTGCCCTAGGCCCACCCTTTGGTCATCAAAGGCTGATGAGTATCATTTCCTAAATGACTTCATCAACCCAAAGCCCAGATGAAACTCTGGAAGTTCGCTTTTTCCATAACAGAACACATGCTTAGGAGGGGTTCCGACCACTCACAGTTTCTGTCAGAGGAGGGTGGAGAGAAGATGCGTTGTTTGCCTTTGCAAAGCAAACTCCGTGGTCTCAGCCATTTCACTATTTCTATTGCAGGATAAAATAGCTGAAGAAGTTGCAGACGGTGGTTGGGCAGAGCATTGTACATTTATAAATGGAGGAAAGGGGATTGCTTCTCCCCCTGAAATAACTTGAAAACATTGTCACTCTCCTGGGGTCAGGATATGGAGAAGAGGGTGGCATCAGAAATGGGAGGGTAGGGAGGAGAGTGGGTCTTTCTGTGACATTGGGCAGAGACTGGAAGCATCCCCATCCCCTGCCAGTCGGAATGCCCAAGAGTCAGGGTGCTTTGAAGACAGTAGCTGTGTGAGCATGTGTTACCTGGAGAGGCTGCACAGTTGAAGGGGTGGATGAGTGCTGGCTGGAGGGAGATGGAAGGAAGGTGGGTTTAGGACAAGGGAGCGGTGTGACAACAGAGAACTAGGGTTGGGTTTCCTAAGCCCCTGGGACATTGGAGCAGGAACTCCAGAGGAGGAGATGAATCCTGATGTGGGGTGGGGGAGGGAAGCTTTCCGGTGAAGTAGGGCTTATCAGTCACCTTAGTGGTTCTTACTTTACGGGAAAGAGTCCTGTGTGGGTCATCTGGTGGTCGTGAGCAAGGCAGCCTCCCCGAAAAGAAGTCACTCACACGGTTGTCTTTCCACAATGCCAGGTTTCTTAGGGGTGACTCTTCAATAAATCCATTAGAGTCACAGGCAGCTTGCACACAGAGCGGGGAGCTTACAGACAGACGCCTGCAGAGCCAGTGTCTGGCCAGAGGTCCCAGTCGCACAGCCATGCCCATTGATTCAGTTTTTAGCCTGTGGCTGCTTTTGCTTCAAGGCCAGAGTTGAGATGGACTGTGTGGCTTGCAGAGCTGAAAGTGTTTACTGTGTGACCCCTCACGGAAAACGGCCAATCCTGGAGTAAAAGGAGCAGCAAAGGTGTGGCAGTGAGACTGTGGAGTTGGGAACATAGACGTTTAGTAGGCCACGAGCTGCCTGTCCGAACAGTGGAGATAAGGCCTGGTTTAGAGTTGTAAGGAATAAGCCAGCTCATATAAATGACAATGGTTTTGTCACATGCTGTGCCTGTGAAAAGAATTATTAAGAATGGATGGAGTTTGGACTAAGAGAGAGAGACCAACCTGTTGAAAGAGCAGATTAAAGGAAAAAGTCAAGGTCAGAGTTTGCTTTTGCTATGGTCTCTATCCTGCCATGAATGAGAATAGAATCAAGGAAGAAAACCAGGTCTCTAGTATGGTACTGGGTGCACACGAGGTGTTTAATAAATGCTCTTTGAGGAGCTCAGTAAATGCTCATAAGCTTACTTCATTTCTGTGATGCAGCCCTGGCTGGTGTAGCTCAGTGGATTGAGTGTGGGCTGCAAACTAAAGGGTTGTGGGTTCAATTCCCAGTCAGGGTACATGCCTAGATTGCAAGCCAGGTCCTCGGTGGGGACTGTGTGAGAGGCAACCACACATGTTTCTCTCCATCCCTTCCCCTCTCTCTAGAAATACACTTAAAAATTTCTGAAAAAGAGACAGTCTGTGAAAAGAGATAGTCTGTGATGCAGCTCATATTAAACTGTCCATTAAACTCAGATTTGCTAACCTGTTGCTCCTGTGCAGATCTGTCCAGGAAAGGCAGGTCTGTGGGCATGGGCCCCGGTCTCAGGGAGCCAACGCGCTACTTGTAAAGACAAAATATGCTTGTTAGGCACACATGGAGTCTATAACATACAATAAGAGTAATTGGGTAATGGGCAAATGAGGGCAAAGTGGAAGAAAAGCAATGTGTACAAATGTGGAAAGGTGCTGAGATGGGCCGAGTTAATCAAGGAAGCCCTCTGCAGGAAGATTGGCCTTGAACTTAGTTTTGAAAGAGATGATGGATGCTGGACGGGCAGGGGGAAAGGAAGGCGTGAGCAAGTTGTTAAGTAGCTTAATATTCAAGGTCAGTCATAGAAAAGATATATGCATACAATTATAGGCACATTCACTCCTGAAGGGGGCATTTTTCTTAATTTTGATTTACATGAAACAGTAGATAGCTTTTGACTAACGACTGTCAGAGAAGCTAATTTAAATTTAAGTCTAAAGCAAAGGCAGATTTATTTTCATTTCTTAGACTACATGTGTGATGTGGAAAAGGGGAAGGGTGGATGAAGACTCTTGCTTTTCTGATAGTGGCGAGGCGGAGCTTGGACTGGGTTTGCATTTCAGCTTTGCTCTTTTCCAGCTGAATGGCTGTGGGTGAAACGTTCGCTCAACCTGTCTGTGCCTTATTTTCTTATTTGTGAGATGCAAAGAATAAGAGAC